CTACAATGAGCACTAGTTATCACTGATAATGTTAAGCTGGATCATCTGTCTCCACTGTAAGGTTAGTCATTTTTCCCTTCTTTCCATATAGTAGTCTTTGGGAGAAAGTCTCTGTGCACAGCCTACACTTAGGGAATGGGGAGTTATGGTCCTCTTCCCTGACGGTGTAGTATCTACATAAATTATTTGGAATTCTTCTGTATGTGAATTATTTCCATTGTCTGCCATTTATTTATATCATTGTGGACCCCTCAATATTTATTGTGAGCCCTTGGTTATAATCCAATACCATGTTATTTATGTTTTTGGCTTCTGTGTCCTTTGACTTACCTCCATCATTGTGCAGTGGATTTTGGATACTTTCTTAATTTCTGGCACGAACAGATGCTCCAGGCTCATCATATATATTCCCTGTCCCAGCCCCAGAATCAGCCATTTCTCCAGGGAGCCCCACTTCCTTTCTTGCATATTGGTATTAGAAATCAAGTTCTGGCCTTTGGGTGTGTGAATTGCCACTGGAGTTTCATTGCTTCTAGTTCCTTAGGGACAGTTATTGAGAGAGAAAAGTGTCGTTCCTTCTAGGCCCTCTAAATGGACAGAGCTTGGAAATGTGTGTGTTATACTAGGGCTTATGCACATATCTGTAATTACTTCTATGTTTACCCATGGGTATCTATATTAAGCGAAACATGAATTCATACTGATGTCGCCAACTATAATGCAGTGTCACATGGCTCATTCTGACCTCATCCCCCTGCTTATCTGTCATCTTCCATTCTAACAGGGAGAAACTTGGCTCCTACCACCTACCACCCATATATTGATGTGTTCAATCCCACTGTATACGTATACATGTACCAGGACAAGAAACGCCTTTATCAGCTGGAGTGCAAATGCTGTGTGTCATCCTTTTGTGTTTGGTCTTAAAGTCTCCACTCTTTCCAGAGTTATTTAGGTCAGCATCTTTTCTCCACACTGATTTGCCAATATTTTGTTAAGGATTTTTGTATCTATGTTTGTGAGGCATATTAATCTGTAAACTTATTTCTTTATATGGTCTGTGTCGGGCTGATTGGTTTATCTGTTTACTTCTTTATGGGCTGGGTTTGTGCCAGCCTTATAGAAAGGGCTGGGAAGGGGCACCTGGGTGGCTCAGTGGGTTGGGTGTCTGCCTTCGGCTCGGGTCATGGTCCCGGAGTCCTGGGATCGAGCCCTTTGTCAGGCTCCCTGCTCCGTGGGAAGCCTGCTTCTCCCTCTCCCACTCCCCCTGCTTGTGTTCCCTCTCTCGCTGTGTCTTTCTGTCAAATAAATAAATAAATAAAATCTTAAAAAGAAAGAAATGTGTTGCTAAATTTCCGTATATTTGGAGATTGTGCTAGACATCTTATTTATTTCTAATTTAATTCTTTGAGGGGGTGGACTCAGAAAATATACTATATTTTTCCAATCCTTTGAAATTTATTTAGACTTGTTTTGGGTCCCAGAGATGGTCCTTCCTGGTCAATGTTCTTTGTAGACTAGAAAATAATGGGTACTCTATATTTGTTTTATGAAATAGTCTGTAAATGACAATAAGGTCTAGTTGGTTGATGATGTTCTTAAATTTTTGTAGCTTCATTAATTTTTGCTCACTTAATCAGTTTCTGAGAGGTGTGTATTAAAATTTCCCACAGTCATTGTGTTTTGCTTATTTCTTCTTGTTCTCAGTTTTTACTTCTAAATATTTATTTCCATAGCATTCTGTTCCCATCTCATGGATTCAGGTTTTTATCTCTCTGGTCTTATTCATAGTTTCTTTTTGTAGTTTTCTTCAGCATCCCACTTCATAGCTTTCCCTTGATGTCCCCCCCCTTTTTCTGGTTTGTAGATTTTGTCTAATGTCTTTCCCATTCGAAGCTCTTCTCCAAGGTCTTGACTGTTCATACTTAAGAATGAGGCACGGAAATGCTAGTTGGTACTTGTTTGCGCACTGACGGGGCCTCAGTGTAGCCTGGTGGAGCAGGGGTCTGACTCTTCGCTGGGGACCAGCACACCCTACCGTTGGTAGCAGAATTACTCCGCTCTCTGGTTTAGGGCTGTGGTTCTGTCTGCTCCTCCTGGGAGCCAAGTGTTTAAGAGGGGTTTTGGTTTTGGGGTGCCTGGGTGTCTCCAGCGGTTGAGCATCCAACCCTTGATTTCAGCTCAGGCCATGATCTCAGGGTCCTGGGATTGAGGCGCCGGTCTGGCTCCGTGCTCAACGGGGAGTCTGCTTGAAACTCTCTCTCTCCCTTTCCCTCTCCCTCTGCCCCTCCCCCTGCTCTCTCTTTCCTATCAAATAAATAAATCTTAGAAAAAAAGAGGGGTTGTGGTTTTTAACATTGGGAATGAAACTTTAACTTAAACCCTGTTTTTTGGGACAGCATATACTTCCCATTTTCAGCAGGATCTTACATCCTAAGTCCAAATATTTTCTGGAAGTGTACTCTCTGGATGGTCACGAGGGTGAGGGAGTCTGGCTGCATAAGCTGCTGATTCCCAGGGGAGGGGTTGTTGATTATAACTGATTCTTATAATGGCTATCAGTGGATCCCCTTTTGCCCTAGATCTTTACCAGTATGTAAGGGTAACTAATGACTTCAATTTCTGAGACTTTCCAGGTTTTTGTAAGGGGAATCAGCTTGTTTCTTGTTGAATTTTCCTCCCAGCCAGCTTACATTTTAGCTTTTTCTTTTTTTTTAAAGATTTTATTTATTTATTTGAGAGAGAGAGAATGAGAGATAGAGAGCACGAGAGGGAAGAGGGTCAGAGGGAGAAGCAGACTCCCCGCTGAGCAGGGAGCCCGATGCGGGACTCGATCCCGGGACTCTAGGATCATGACCTGAGCCGAAGGCAGTCGCTTAACCAACTGAGCCACCCAGGCGCCCGCTTTTTCTATTTTTTAACTCACTTTCTATTTGTCCTTTTAATTTCCCTCACCCCGAATTTTGTTGATGTCTCTCTTCTCCTGCCCTATCTTCTTCTACTCCCTTTATCACATATTCTTGACTTTTCAATTCCTCTGTTGTCATTATAGTGGAGTTTCCAGAGAGATCAAGGTTAAGTTCATATTTAGCCATGTTTTAATTGGAATTCTTATTGCAGTAGGTCATGCATTTTATATTTTACTATTTTTAAATTGCTTTCCATGGTGCTGTACTGATTCACATTCCAGCCAGTAGTTGAGAATTTTTACTTCTTTAGATCCTCAGCAGCTTTGGATATTTTCTGAAATCTTTAATTTTGACCAATCTGTTGGGTGCAAAGTGCTATGTAATTGTTATTTTAATTAATGTTTCTCTGGCTACTATTGTGGAAGTAGCTGTCAGATGATCATGAAGCCGGGCATGCTGGGGGAGGCTCCTGGGTAACTAACTGCCTTTGGCTTCACCAAGCCCGTCAGTGAGCACGGAGGAAGGGTCTAGCTTTCATTTGCCCATTTTGCTTCCATCTGTGGGCAGGGAGGAAGCCCACTTGCCATTCTCATGAGGGTTGCCCACTCTTTAAGCCTCTGGTCTCTCTTTAAACATTCTCGCTAAGATCTCCCTCATGTGGGTCCACTGTCCAGCTGTGGGGATGGGGACCAGAGGAGCCACGTTTCCATCTCCTGCTCTGCTCCATTAGGCTCCATGTTGTTTGTCTTTGAGGATAGCTCCATTCCATGACAGTGGCTCTTGACATGCTGTGTCAGTTCCATCACTGTCCAGTTATGAGAGCAGGGCTGGACATCTTGCAGGGCTAAGAGGTTGCTTTTTGTGTGTGAATTGCTTGTTTATATTCTTTGCTCATACTTCTGTGAAGTTGTTTAAATGCCTTTGGACTTCATTTAACTTTTGCAAACATTTTAAACTTTGGTGTAATGAATCTTTCAGTCTTTCTTTCCCTTTATAATTCATGTTTCTTTTTTTTTCTTTTTTTAATTGAATTTAATTTTATTATGTTATGTTAGTCACCATACAAGGCATCATTAGTTTTTGATGTAGTGATCCAAGATTCAATATTCTGTGTTGCATGATTTTAATTGCATGTGTATCTTGCTTGCCAGACGCTTAACCCTCAATCACAAGGATTAGGTCTTTTCATCTTTATTCCCCAAATCTAGCAGGGGCTAATGTTCATATGTCAAAAATTGTTCCGGAAATTTTGTCATAAGTTTATCCTAACTATGATTTCAGAAGGACTTTAAGGAAGAAATATGAAATTCATGTTTCCATGTGGTTTAGGAACTCTTTTCCTATTCCCAAATCATAGAAATTATTAGAAGAAAATATAAGATTCAACTTAAAGTTTTCTTTTCACTTTTAGCTATTGGATCCGTGGTGAATTTATTTTTGTGTATGATTTGACGTAGGGACATAATTGTATGTCTTTTCCATATGGTGAGCCAGTTTCCCCAGAACCACTTGATTAATCATCTGTTCTTTCCCATGGATGCCACTTCTGTTGTGTTCACATACCCATTCACTAGGGAGTCATTGCTTGACTGGTGACAAGAATGGCTGAGAATAAAGCCCTAAAGATAAGAGCACTCAGAAATAGATTGACAAAATATTTGTACCTCTAAAGCTTGGGTTCTAGGGGTATCCTTCAACTCTTTGCTTGAACATCTCCTCTGGGTAGGTCTCCCTCACTGCATCCTCCCCACACAACCATTTCTGCCTACCAATGCGATGGTGGCACAAGGGAGAGAATTAGCAAATCTATTATTCTCTGTTGCATGATTTTAATTGCATGCGTATCTTGCTTGCCAGATGCTTAACCCTCAATCACAAGGATTAGGTCTTTTCATCTTTATTCCCCAAATCTAGCATGGGCTAATGCTCATATGTCAAAAATTGTTCTGGAAATTTTATCATAAGTTTATCCTAACTATGATTTCAGAAGGACTTTAAGGCTAATAGGGCATGAAATGAACAAAATTAAACTACATTTTGAATTCCTTTCTTTAATACTCAATTACAGAGATATTATGACATTCAATTACATATTTGATTTCATTTTTTTAGCACAGCTATAAATCATGAATGTTCAAAAGAAAGTGAATGTTAGTTAGAACAAACATTAGTATACAAAAATGGATGCACAAATATGCTAGTCTTCTATGATACAGACCATCTTAAAAAAATGTGTTTATGTGTACATATACATGGCAATGGGCTAAGTTTGAAAATGGGATAAAATTTGGTTCCTTTCTGGTCATTAGCACAGAAAATTTAACTGATTTCAGCTACAATGTGTCAAACACACCCACACACCCGCATCCTCTCGCCCACACATATACCCAAGTGAGGGAATTTTCCATTAAGTAAATTTGGAAAAATTAAAAATTTTCTGGTACAGAGCTTTTAAAAACCATCTCAAATAAGCTTCATCAAAATGTCTAATATTGACCTCACTGACAAGCACTCAGTGATAAAGTAGATTATCTTATTTATTGGGTGCTTTTTAATGGTCTGTTTCTCCCACTTAATTCATCACTGTAATTCCAACGTCCTCAAGAGTGCCTAGCAATGAATGCATTTGCATATAGAAGCAAGTGCTCATAGCAAGGTATTATTAAAGATGAGGAAGATATAAATTGATCCAGAATGATAGTTATTTAGTCAACAAGAAATGTATTGAAGGCATAGATGCTATAATCAGATAAAGCTAAGATTTCACTACTCTGGCGGCTAGGGATCAAGTGACACTTTTACACTGAAAATGAAATACTAGTTGAAGAGGGATTAAGCCCTTTGGAATTTGGGCAAGCCAAACCCAAGTCACTGAACTTTTTCAATTACAGATCCAATAAGCAGCTAGACACTGAATAGAATTGTGTCTGAAGACGTTGGTTCAGCCATGACTGTGTCATCATAGGATTTGGGCCAAGGAGACACAGTGTCCTCAGTCATACAGTGGGTTCAGAAGACCTGTCCTGCCTTTTTACAGAACTGTTGTGAGAATCAGGTACAATTATGTATATGTATATATATTGTACAGTTGTACAATCAAGTACAGTTATGTGTATGTATATCCTTATTCTTCAGTAATACTTATAAGCAGTATGTCCTTATTACAATCAACACTGAAAACAAGAGTCTCTGTGGCGGGCATGGTGGTGGGCCACTTGGCTCTCCCTTGAAAGAGGAACTTGCTGATGAGTGGGTTATCTGACAGCCTTCCTCTGCAGCAGCTTCTGGATCTCCCCCAGCATCTGAAGGTTGTTTTCCCTGGGCGGTCTCTGGGAATGACTTACATGGTGTTGTGTGTACGAAGACCTAGTCACTTCTGCCTCACATGGGACTCTGTCCTCTATGAGCAATCTTTGCTCTGGATCATACCAGCGAGCTGGCCAGGAGTCTCCCAGAGCTGCATCTCAGCTGGATGCTTTTCTTACCCCCATCTCCCTCCTTCTGTCTCTCCTCTCATAGGGGACCACGTCACAGCCCAAAGGCTCTCCCTGCCTAGTCTTATTGCTTCCCTTCACCCCTTATCTTTCTCAGGCATTACCTGTAACAAATGTTTGCACTTCTAACTCCTGTCTTGGGCATTTGAGTTCCAGAAGACCCAGCTAACATGGTCCCTCAAACCCTAATCATCTAAAAAACAACCCCGTCAATATTTTGAATTTTATCTTTCCAGAGATTTTCATTATGGATAAGCATGGTGGGCTTTTTATTTTAAGATGGTTGATTTCTGCCTCCTTTTCCTCTCCCCATCATATCAGGCATTTATGAATAAAACATTTTGAAAAACATAAGCCTCATAAATGCCAGCCACCAGCTGATGCTCATCCGTTTTAACAACGCTAGTGCTTGAGGAGACTCAGACATTTCTTGAGCACACAGTGTTGAATGGTGGGAACAAGTGAATCAGAGGTCCCAGGCATCTCCCAATAGCTTTGTAGAGGGAGGCTCAGATTCTTCCTGCGCTAGAGCTGGGGCCTCTGCGGTCTTTTTCCACACCGGCCTGGGTCTGCCCAAGTCCAGCCGAGAGTGACCAGCAACCATACTGCCTTCAGCTCTGAGCAGTACGCTCCTTAGTAGCCAAGCCGCAGTTTGGACACGCTCACCTCTTGGTCCCTATGTTACCCCGTGCAGGTGCACTGGAAGGGAGGCTCAGTGGGGTATCTGGAGCTCTCACTGACAAAGAGCTTCTTCATCAAAGGCTCCTGACCTGACTTAGAGGCATAATTTCCCACTGATCTTGAGAAAGCTGAGCCTGGACGGTTTTCCGGTTGGTAGGTAGACTCTCAGAGTTCCTCTCAGAGCAGTCCGTGGCTGCTATTTTAGATGAGATAATCCTGAGCAAGGTTCCCATTGTCATCTCTCCCCTTCTAAATCTGTTTTGATTTTACTTCTGCCTTAAAGCTACTCTTGCGTAAATATTCCATAAATTTCATGTATAGACTTTGGTAATATTTGAAGTCACTTTGTAGATTGATTTCAACCAGAACTCTCTCTCTCTCTCTTTTTTTTTAAACGTACTCCACTAAAGAGTTTATTTATTTATATTTTTCAATGCGGGGAAATCTGTTTTCAAATGGTGTCTCTCTCTTTAATTCAGCTTTTCAACCTGATGGTAAAATTCCACAGGGAAATGTACCTGGGAAGGTGTGCTTGGATGGAGCCAGGCAAAATGCGTAAAGATGGGGGCTCCCTTCTTACATCGAGTGAGACCAGTAACCTCTTTGAGCCTCTTATTCCTCATTTGTATTGTAAAATAGTAATAAAATAATATCCTCTTAGCTTTAGGAGGGGACAGTATCAGGGGGCGTGCAATGTTCCTTCAAAGTAGCACTAATCTGAGGACACTTCTCTTCCTTTGAAGGGAAGTCCATAATTGGAATTAAAAAAAAAATTACTTTCTCTCAGACTTAGGCTTACTCCCTTACTACGAATCTGCTAATTCCGTTTGTCTTAAAGCCACTCCAAACAGAGTCCTGGAGACTGGGCCCATGGCCCTTTCACCCCTGGAGTAAAAGCGTTTTGATTTCTGTCTTACGGGTGATATTTGCAAACACTCTCCTTTTCTGCTACATTCCTTCTCTACAGTTGAGTTTCCAGGATTACAAATAAAATAGAGCTTACATTCACCAACGTCTTCAGCATAAGGAATCTCAAAAACATTGTACCTTCACAAGGTCCTACCGCTTCTGAAATAAAGGCAGAACCAGGTCCTATAAAGAGCATAGATTCGGGAGTCTCACATAGATTTGTCCCGTGCTAGCTGCAAACATCTAAGCAAAGCTTCTCCTCACCTTTATTTCTCACCTGGAAGCATGGCGACCACGTTTATGGTTTTCTCTTTAGAAGATATTTTTTAAAAGCCTGCTTTTATTTTTGCTTCTTATCAATATTTCTTCTGTGGTTTGAACTTTCAAAACCGAGATCGATTTTCCAATTTCCATTATAGAATGTTTTCCTTTTCTCCGAAGTCAAAGAAGTGATCCCCCGAAGCCACAGAAAAATCGTCTTTTGAAATAAATGAAAAGTGGGTAGAGGTCTTGGATCCAGTGAACTGCAGAGAAAACAAAACTCCCGACTACCAAGGTGAGAAGCACCTGCTGAGGGGGAGGGGCTGAGTCAGGTAGCATTGCTCCCTGTGGATTCCGGTTTTGTCTTTCCCATCAATTAGTACGATGGGGAAATACTTGTAGTGTTCAATGATGTCTTCCACTGAATTAAACTTCTGAAACACAGAAAAGAAAGTTAATGAAAATTTAAATATCTTTTTTGTCAGTGGGTTAAAGCACAGAAAAAGATGCTTCATTTTCCTTAGGGAAGAAGTTAACTCACTTAACATTGTTTTTTTTTTTTTTTTTTTCTTTTTCCGAATCGTGAAGGTGTGTCAGAAAGTGATTTTAAAAAAAGAAAGTGGAAAGCCAGCTCTTGAAGAATGAGTGATATAAATATTAAGTTAACATGGAAGAGTAAGGTGGTTGGGGAGACCAAAAGTGAGCAGGTCAGGGCTCGGCCTTCACTGAGTGAATTGGTGGGAAGGCCTGCAGCGAGCTCCCCTCCCGGAAACCCCTGTGTTCCAGGGAGTGCTGGGGTCATCAGAAGGAACAGAGCCGGCCACAAGGTGCTGGCAGTTCTTAACCAATGTCATTTCCTTCCCTGGGTTTCTTGTGAAATAATGAGGTGACAGCAGATCTTTACTTTGATGTTTCTGGAGATGCACAGATGAAGGGCCGTGGCGATTGGACGGACAGTGAGATTATTTCAAGTTTGGGGAATCAGGACATGCTTTGCTGAAGATGCAGACTCAAAATGGGCTATACCTTCTGGGTGATTCTAGATAAGGGACAAGGGGGTTTAAGGATTCTAAAAGCATGAACAAAGGCAGGTGTTGAGGACACGAGGGTCCAGACGGTGATTCTGATGAGCTGAGTTTGGGTGTGTCCTCAAAGGAAATCCTGCAGGGTGAGTAGGAAGAGCTCACTCAGCTTGCCTCGCGCACTTTAAGACAATGTTGATCCTCCTCGGCCTCAGCCCTGGGAGGTGAGCAGGGCAGGGGGAATGGCCTTCATGGAAGAGCCAAGGAAACTGCAGCTCAGAGACATGGCCTGACCTGCTTGGAGGTCACACAGCCAGGGGGCCACAACCAGGAATGCAGCCTGGTTTTTCTGGACAGGAGGCTTCTGCTCTTTCCCTTCTACAGCGTGCCTACGGCTTATGACCCTGGGTTCCAACAGACTAGGAGAGAGGACACAGCCTGAAGGGAGGGAGCCCTGGCAGGGAAGCCTTTGATGCTCCTCTAGTGTGAATCCTCCCTCTGCCCAGTGCGTCCCAGCACAGACATAGTTGCAGGCCTTCAGGATCTCCAAGAGGGAATGGAATTGTCATGGTGCCTGGCCTCGTGCAGATTACATTCTGGTTGGGACAGACAGAAAATAACTTCCTATACAAAGAGGTAATTTCATTTAGGGATAACGTGCTCTGAAGTTAATTAACTTGGAACTCAAGAACATCACCAGGCTACCCACGGACCTTCCCTTGGGGCTGCATGTGGCTACTGGGAGGGAACTCCTTTTCCTCAGGGGAGCCCTGAGTTGAAAAGCTAGAGACCTGTAACCGCCATGGTGGAGGGTCTGAAGACAAAGGGGCCACTGGAGGAGGGTGGGAAGGCAAAGAGGCACCACACTGGGGAAGAGACTCAGGGAAAGGGTCAGGGAATGACTAATCTCCTGACATGGACCAGTCCTTGGATCCGCTCCATTTCTGCCCATCCTGAAGACCGAGTCCACAAGCTTCCCCCTTGTTCCCGCCCAAGCTCATCTGACATGGGTTCTGTCTTTTCACACTAAAACAGACCTGCTTGAGTCTGTGACTTGCCCCTCTGCACCTGTTACTAGATCTGGTTTCAAGGAGATAACCTGTCTGTCCACCCCCAATAGGTATATGATAAATACTAGTTCCTACCTGATGCTAAGGTATGGTGGTTTCCCTTTTGTGCCGTGCGGAAAGCAAGTGCTGTGTTAGAGAAGTCGTACGTGAAGGGCCTTTGGGGACCAAGTGCCTGAGTTCTGAACTAGGCTCTCCCACTCAGTAGCTGTGTGGCCTTTGGCAGGTTTCTCACACACTCTGTTTCAGTTTCTCTATCTCTGAACACGATGGTAAGTATTATCAGGACCCACCTCTGAGGGCCCTTGTGAGGATTAATTGAATTGACATATATTCAACATTTAGAAGACAGCTTGGTATACAGTGAGTGCTCAATAAATGTCTCATTACCCTGACCTCATCCCTTTTGGCTTTGCCAAGAACAAAGAGCAATGAAATCACTGGAGAAGTTTATAGATGATCATTGTACACCTTCAGGAAGGCTTTTTTTTTTTTTTTGTATTTCATTTCCAGTTATAAACTAAGAACAGAGTTTTCTTTCTCTTTTTCCATACTTGACAAAACTAAAAGTGAGTAATGAAAAGAAACTTCTCACGTGGAACTCTTCTGCAAAATTGGCTAACCCACGTGGCACAGAGGAAAGCCTCTTCGGTGATCTTCATCTTCAGAAGGAAAATGCATGATTCCTCTTCTCATTCCTGTTATCTTCAGGATGGTCTTGAAATAATGGGTTCAGTATTAACTGTTTTAATAACTACTGCATGGATGCCATTTTACAGGAAATTGTAATTTTACTAAGTGGTAGGAAGCAAGTGAGGCAGGAGCGATAAATCATTACTGTCGTTTCTGATTATGCCCTTCTAGTGATAGGCCCACAAATGATATATTATTACCCTAAAGACTTCTAAAAAATATTATAATGAAGCTCTTAGTTTCATATTAAATGATTTTTCCAGGAGGGCAGCAAATGTCATCCGAATATTAGATCTTAAAATTTCTTTAAACCTTTTGTGTTTGCCCTAAATGCCAATGGTAGGCAATGATTTACTTGCCAGAAGGGTAAAGAAATCTGTCTGGGTGCATGCATAGGAGTGAAAGAAGAAAAGAGAGAAGTGGGCAGGGGAAGTGAGAAGCGGTGAGCTCGTGGGTTCATTGTTTATCTCTGCTTACTAGTCTTTAACATTTATTAAGTAAATGTTTATCATAATTTTCAGTCACTTATCATACCATTTGCAGGACAAGGAAAGGTCTGATGATGGAAATTGCTCCTTTCTAATGAGCTTTCAGAGAAACGTTGACACACGTGGTTTCTGAACTCGGACTCAGGTTAATGCCTGGCAGCAGGTGAATCTCTGCGGGTTACTAATGGCAGGTGCTTCTCGTGCCAGGGCTGGTGTTCTAGCAGCTGCTAAATATTTCCGGTCTCACCCCTGCTTAGGTGCATGCATCGATAGGCACAGATGAGCAGGGTAGTCCCTGGACGGCAGGGACTCTGTGTCCCCAGAATGGAGCATGAAGTCTAGCATAGTGTAGGCGTAAAATGAATGCTTGACCAATAGCTTGGCCAAAGACATTTCTGATGTTTGAAGCCACCAAGTTTGTGGTGCTTTGTTATAGGCCCCAGGGAATGAAGACACTGGGTCTTTCCTAAATCTGAATTCAGACATGAGTTTCTAGCCATGTGGCTAACAAGATGACCCAAATACCTAAATATGCAGCAAAACGGACCTTCCCAGGCTTATTCTTGGCAGATGTGGGTGGGTTTGCTCGCCTTCTCTGCCTGGGGAGGTGTTGGCATGCTCGCCTTCCAGGGGCCTCATCCAGACATCCCCTGCCACCCCCATGTTCTGGGGTAGCTGCCCCTCACTTGTGCCTGGGTGCACAAACCCAATGCAGAGGCTCTCGGGAATCATTTCCGATGGAAACCCATCCTCACTAAGCACCTGTCTCTGTGTGTCTGAGCCTCTATGACTGTATTTACCTCACCTCATCTGATAGGTGTCGTTGCTTTGGATGTGTGGTTAAATTTCTCAAGTTTGCAAGGCAGCCAAAAAGCCCCACAAAATAAAAATTATCCTTGACAGCTCTGTATCTCATTACCTTTCTCCTGCAGCGTCAAACTAAGACGCTATTTCTTTATTCAAGCCCCAGATGAAGTAGCTGGTGCTGGCTTGCACTCAGCAGAGCCTTACTGTAAATTCTCTCTCCCTTTTGTAAAGCTGGGAGCATCTTCCCTAGCCAAGCGGGCACTCGCATGCCTGGTGAGGGGCAGGAGGGAGCTGAGAGCAAGCTACACTGTCCCAGCTGTGCACCAGCACCTGGCTCGTAAGGCAGGAAAATATACAGTTGTGAAGTGTAATTTCTCACCCAGTGCCTGGTGCACAGTAAGCGTCGCGAAAGTGTTAACTCTCTTTCACCCCACGTTCTGGACGGTTTTCATGCAGGCTGGTGATTGTTCGCATTTGGTCATGATGTTATCCGAGACCATATGAATATTTTTGCAGAATGAAAAATGAAGCCCAGCCTTGCTCTGTCCCTGATGTTACTGGGGTCCTGTTACTTAACAGTTACTTAATTTGTGTCTCAGTGTCACTGTTAGTTGGAAATTGGGTGGCACCGAAGCTGCAGGGTTGCTAGGAAGGATGAAATCGATCAAGTTAATTAGTAATTGTTAACTGCGAAGGACAGGTCCTGTGCACAGCAAACACGCAAGTGTTAAATAGGAAAAAGGAGACTTGCTTGGGGGGATAATGCATGGGAGGAGAAAACTCCGGAATATCCAAAAAGGGTTTTCTTAAAATAGGCATTTGAATCCTTAAGGGGTCCTTGGTGACGATAATTAGAGCAGCTCACCTGGAAGCTGATGGTCTATATCTTGGCTGTCACAGACGGCAAGTGCTTCCCTCTTGAGGCGGGGAACTGGCTGACGATCTGATTAAACGCTATTGGGATGCCATCCCAGAGTAAGAGTCGCTGTCTCCTCTATGAGAAGACCAAAGTGTGGCATGCAGCGGGGGAAAAGCTGTGACCTCTTTAGGGTTGTGTCCTTGCTGGTAAAAGGGGCTCCATAATGCATCCTTCCCTGAGGTTTTTTGAGGTCCAGGTCAGGGAGCAAATGACACAGCATTTCGCAGAAGCCCCATGTGTCAGGGTGCATGATTTCCACTTGCTGTGTATCCTGAGCATTTAGAAGTCATATACAACTTTTTTAAAGAACAGGAGCTGGAAGAAGCTAGAAAGGATAGAGGGGGACTGAGCCGGAACTGTACCCGTTATTACAGTGACTCAGGAATAAAAATGAAAATATAATAACTCACATTTACCATGGGCTTGCTAAGTCTCAGGCTGGCTCGGAGTACGTTACGTTTGTTACATCACTAATCCTCATCACAAAAAGGAAAATTGGCTACTTCCCTTTAGCTTTGCTATCATCCTCTCTTGGTATGGCTGCATTTAGCAGATTTATGTATTAATCTATGTATCTACTCATGCTCTCATTTATGGCCAGACTTTCCCAGGCTCTCACAAAGGCCAGTGCCGACCACACCTCTCCAGCCATGAGCGATTCTCTGAAGGGGCTCGGGGTCAGACACTGGGTTTAAGCTGGAGTCTCCACGCGGCCGCTGTTGGGATTCTCACATACGCACCTACCCGATGCGCTGTGGCAGCCCTGGCCATGTTCTTCATTTTAATCTCTACTGAAGAACATTGAGGTCTGGAGATGCTAAATGAGAATTACTGAATTAGAGAAGTCCAGACAAGAAAAGAATATTACATTTGACGAAACTAAAGCCCAGAGACGTTAAGTGACTGGCCTGAGCTCACATACTTAGTAAATGGTGATGCAGAACTTGACCCCTACCCTTCCCTTCCAACACGCCTTCCTACTTTCCTTTCAAGAAGAGTTGAAGGAGTAGCTTCTCCTCACCCTCTCACTTTCTACTTGTGTGTCTCTAGCCATTTACGTAACTTTCTGACCCTCAGTTTCCCTATATCTAAGGTTGGAGCAATTGTTATGTGAAGGCGTAATTGAGGGTTCATGTGAGGTGATGCAGAGAGACCAGGCCTACCATAAGCACATTCAGTGAAAATCAGTTTCCTTCCTCCTTTGTCTTTATGCAGTTGTTCATGAATGCCTTAACTGATGGATTCCCTCACCTAGCTGACTATCAGCAGCTCTGTACTGAGGATGGGCATGCTCAACATGGCACTGAATGCTGTACTTGAGCTCACGTTCAATTTGGAGACACAAACCTAAGGGTTCCTAATGCCAGCAGGTGTGGTGAGGAAAGCGTGCCATGGGAGTTTGGCGTGGGGGCAGGGAAGGAATGTGGTGTTCACACTAGCTGGGGCTTCAGGGGAGACCTCCCGGGAGGCAGAACTTCAGTGTTGTCCCGCAGAATGACTTTCCTTTAATGGGCAGAGCCACGCGGAGGGTACATGGAATGGTCAGGATTGGCTGGGGCTCATGAGCTGAAGCGTGAGGTGGGCAGGGATGCTTGTAGAAGGGGCTGGAAGGGAATTAGTCTCCACCTCTAGGGCGGCGCTCTTTTCTCCTCCCCCAGGAGTCATGGGGATGAGACAGATGACTTGGCCAGCATGCCCCGCCCCGCCCACAACATCTCCCCTTGTTGCCTTTGGTCTGGAAAAGGGAGGCTGACAGGTTGTACCCACCTCATCTCCCCTCAGTCCTGTCCCCAGGGCAAACTGCTGATTCTTCTCCAGGAAACGGATTTTCACATTGTAGACTTTGTTCCCATAAAACACCACCAGCACGTAGGGTTCTGCCCTGGATTTCGTGGAACAGTCTCGGACCAAGAAAGTGCCGTCCTGAAGCAGAAGGAAGAAAGGCCTTGTCTCAGGCATGCCAGCCTCCCAAGCCTGCCAGTGTTGGCCGTAGTGACACTTGTGTGTGCCACGTTCCCATATGGCTTGCTTTTTGGCAAAGCAGTTCTTCGTGCAGTTTACTTCAGTGAGTATTTGAGGGTCAGCATTTGTAAGGGTTCTTGTTACTTTCTAAAGAGTGTACCAGTCAGATGAGGACATCCCCTTCTCCCAAATCTTCCACCATCCCCCACTGGCCTCAATGTCATGCCTACAACCATAGCATGATGTTCGTGGATAAATGCTCCAGCCTGTCTTGGGGTTTTGTTTCCTGCATCCTGGCTCCAGCCAAGTCCCTATTTCCTACCGTCTTGCTTCTGGGCTCTCAGCTTTCACACAGGCCACCTCATCTGCGGGGAGTAGCCCTCCACCTCCCCTCCTGGGGGTGCTACCTTCACCTGCCCATGGTCGCATATATCCTATTCTGCCTGGTGCTCGGGTGTTATTCTAGAGTCAGTGGGAGCCACTGCAGGCTTTAGCAGGAGAGGCTTTTAGCATAATACATGGAGACTCTGAGTGGGGAGGTGTTAATATAGGGCTAGGGTCCCCCCAGAAAACATGGGGCTTCAGTCACTGATAGCAGCATGAGCAGACATGGGGGGGAGGGGCTAACATAGCCTCCTGTGAGGGGAAGGCCGGTGCAGGGGAAGAAAGAGGAGACAGAAGAGGGATTAAGAAGGAAACCCAGAAGCTTCAGTGTGACAGGAGCCAGGAGAGGAGATGGAGGGTTTCAACAGTGTGGGCTGACTTGCGGGCTGTGAAGAGGCAGACTGCAGGCATCAGGCCCACCCAGGGGAATAGCTCGCTGGAGGTCTGGTCATAAACGCCTAGGAAGTGGAGTGATTGTCCTGGATTCTCCTAAATAGAAACACACCTGCAAGGATGGTTGTGTGGCTACATTGTCTTTTATATGATGAAAATACTGAAAAATCTGTAACTGTAATTGCATAGATTCTTGTATAGACGGTTGTAAATGATCTATTAGAATAGATCTAATTAGATGTGTGCAGGACTTACTATTTTTTACAGATTGATATTATATATAATAATTTATGTTTATAATTAATTGTTACATATACTTATCTCCATATAGACTGTATTTTATATCTGTATATCTATATATAACTATTGTGCATAACTAATATTTACAGTTATAGATAATGGTTATAATACAATAATACTATAAATATATTAAGTTTATAAATAACACTAAGAAACTGTAGTGACATGATAATTCTGGTAGCTAAGGTTTATTGAGACTTGCTCTCAAGATGCTAAGCATTTTGGAGGTGCCTGGGTGGCTCACTTGGTCAAGCGTTTGCCTTTGGCTCAGGTCATGATCTCAGGGTCCTGGAATCGAGCCCCTCATTAGGCTCCCTGCTGAATGGGGAGTCTGCTCCTCCCCCCACCCCTCCCTCCTGCTTGTGCTCTCTCTCTCTCACATAAATAAATACAATCTTTAAAAAAAGATGCTAAGCATTTTACACACATTATTTCATGTGATGTTTACATAAAATTTGAGAAATTATTGTATCCCCATTTTACAGGTAAGGGGAGTAGGGTCTAATTGCTTAAGTGAATCCACTAACGCATCATGGCTAGTTAGTAGATTACCTAAAAGTCAAGCCCAAGTTCTTGCCCTTTAAATATATCAGTCTCTGAGTACAGAAAGTGGGATTAAGGAATTTTCTGGAACTCGTTCTACCTAAAACATTCAGCCATAATTGACGCCCTAGGATTCAAGCACAGAACATTGCCCGAGATCAGAAAGGGAGAGGACGCCAAGACACGGAACCAATTTTTGGATTCATCATCTTAACCTCTGCAATGAGTTTGTCATCACGAATCTGGGCGATCCTGCAATTTAAATGAAATTATCTTTCCTTAATTGGAAACATGTTTTGACACAACTGAGACAAACAGAATAGGAAAAGATGAAGTCATGCCACTGAGATGCTGTTTCATCAGTGCTTTTGTGGGAGGGGACAGAAACAGGCACAGAGAGTGGTGGCAAAAGGAGCCTCTACTGAGTGCCCAAATGTTGCTGGAAGGACATTGTGGGATATATACATTGCTCTAGAATTCTAGCACCATCCCCACAGCGGCTCCGGGAAGCAGGTCTGCTAAGGGTAATTTCTGTGTTGGCAAACGGGCTCAGAGAGTGCAGTGGCTCATTGGGTACTGATTAACCAGGAGTAGGAGGCAAGGTTGGAGCTGGTACTGTACTCCCCCATCTACAAGGAGAGGTCTGCTGGGGTGGGGTTCCCCGGGGAGGGGGCAGGAAGGGTCCTGTCGGCAAGGCATCAGCTAGCCACCTGAGGCTCCCCACTGGAACGCAAAGAACTGTGATGGCTACTAGAGCAGTTGTGGTTTTGTAAAAAGAGCCCTGATCTTGAATATGGGTTCTGCCACTTTTTCCACTTTTCCCCTTTATGACCGAGACCTTGATTTAGCCTCAGGTTCCTCATCTAGAGAATGAGATCGTTGCATTGACTTCTAATATGCTCAAGATCCTTTGTTAGCAACTGTATTAATTTCCTCCTGCTGCTGGAACAAGTCACCGTGAACTTCGCAGACTAAAATGCAGATTTATTCTCCTGTGGTTCTGGAGACTGAGTTCTGATACGGGTTTGACTGGGCTAAAATCAAGGGGTCACAGGGCTGGGTTCCTTCCAGAGGCCCTTGGGAAGAATGCATTTCCTTGCCTTTTTTGGCTTCTAGAGGCTGCCAGGGGTCCTTGACTTATGGCCCCCATGTCTGACTGACGTTCCTGCCTTCCTCTTATAAGGATTCTTGTGATTACATTGAATCCACTCACATAATACAAGATACTGTCCCCATCTCAAGATTCTTAATTTAATCACATATGCAAAGCCCTTTTTCCAGGTAAGGTGGTATATTCACAAGGTCTGGGGTTTAGGATGTGGGTTTCTTGTCAGGGGGCATTATCCAATTTACCCTAGAAACTTACATATAATTTGTCTTATTTAATTTTACAGTATCAATTCTGAGAGCTACATTTTATTAAAATTTATTGGGGACCTATCATTTATCCACCCGTTTACTAATTAATTCACTCATCCGTTTTTGTATCTCTTCATTCAACAATAAACATTGCACTTGTTAGTTGAGGAGAGGTTTTGATGCTCCAACAGTCTTGAGAGCCTTTCTATCACTTCTGAGAGATTTCTCACAGCCTAGTAGAGCTCTCTGCTCATCGACGAGTAGTTATTTAATAACTATTTGCTGTTTGTGATGGTGGTTCTAGTAGTCATTTGATCTGATCCCAAGTATTTCACTTCTTTTCTCCTTTTGGTCAGATGGTAGGTTTGTCCTTCCCCACCCCCTCGGGAGTTAGGCCTGGCCATGTGAATCGCTTTGGCCAATGAAATGTGAGCAGAGATGAGTGTTACTTTCGAGAGCATGTGGTAAGAGCCAGTGTGTGACTGGAGTGAGCACACATGGAGACGGGGTCTCCACCAGCACCCAAACCTTTCTAGCCCATGGAGCGCAAGCAAGAAAGTTTTGCTATGCTAAGCAACTGAGATCTTGCGGTAGTTACTACAGAAACCTATCATACCCTGACTATGACAGCGTTCATGATCCCTGCACCTTTCCTGAAGACAGGAGAGATGAAGACCTGCCCGTACTGTATGCAGACCTTTAATAATGAGATGACCTTGGAGGAAAGCAGAAGGAAGGCATCTTCCATGGTGACCTCCATTCAGACCTCAGCTTCCACATATGATCTCCAAAATAGTTCCTTAGGGTTGATTTTACTGTGTTCATTTAATCAATAAAGAAACCTAAACTTAAAGATATTTTTTTAATTCAATTAACCATCATTAGTTTCAGATGTAGGGTTCAGTAATTCATCAGTTGCGTATAACACCCAGTGCTCATCACAACACATGCCCTCCTTAAAGATATTTTGGAAGAAGAGCAAGTCCCATGACTCATAGTGACACAGCCAAGTCCCCCTTTTAATGACAACTTCCTGAGCACTGAGAGATACAGGCTGGTGCGTCAAAGCACACTGCTCTGTACGTGCTGGGGGACCCATGGGCAGAAAACCGTAAGACAGCTGCAGACAGGGTGACATGGGCCCTCTAGAAGGTGTTACCTTGTTCTCCTTCCTTAATGCCTCTTCTACTGCCTTGCGGCTTTGTTCTCCGATGTACCAGTCACTCTGCTGGACATCCTGCGGTGCAGGTAAATGATGAAAATTTTAGGATCAAAAAGAAGTGCTAACTTTAATCAATTAATTAACTAAAGTATGCTTTTGTTCTACTAGGGTCACACCACAGTTTGATTGATAGCAAATACGCAGTACAAAAATTCCATCCCTGGATCTGGAAATGGACACAGGAAAAGCAACTGCAGCTTAGGGATTATAGGAAACTGGCATGACAGAGTCCGTCTGTCACTGAAAGTAACCAGAAATTTCACTCCCATCTGTTAAGAAAGGCCCATTGGCACCATGCTCAAAATGGGTAATAAACCTTCTATCTACCAGTGCTTTCTGAATCTGCACCTGCTGAAGCTATGGTGGGAGGTGTATTGTTTGTGAAGCCAGCGTGGCCCTAATCCTTGCAAAACCAGCAGGGGAGGTGCAGATCGAGAGCATCTTTATAGCTCTTGCGTCAAATCACATGTGGTGGAACTGGGATTCGAACCCTGGTCTATCTGGCTTTCTCCCTGATACCCTGTTATACCAATAGATTTATTTTGATGATAAAATCCACCATAACAGAAGAAAGGGCAGTCAGGGAGATGTACCATGAATCTGCAATTCCTTTACTGGATTCCAAGGATGATACCATTAAACAGTCCTTTGCATGAGTCCAACCTCTCCAAGGCCATTCTTCATTCATTATCCAGTCCACCCCCATAATAATCCTGTGAGGTTTGCACGTCAGGACAGTGCAGGCTCAGGGAGTCAGCATCTGTCACAGGACTGGCAAGAGCTAGGTATGGGACAGCAGGTCTTTGTTCTCTCCGTCTGAGTCTCTGGTCTTCCCAGCACATACCTGATCCTTCTAGCAATGGGTACACCACCAGTCATATGTGAGTGCCATTGGGAGAGGCATGAGCTAGCTCCAGCCTAAGTCTGCAACCTCGCTGGCTGCAGTCTGAGGACATGGGTCCGGCCAGGCAGATGTGCTTGCTGTTCTCTGGACATGCATAGCTTCAAGGCTTGGCATGAGCTAGCCCTGCTGCCTAGAAACCCCCTCACACCTCACCCTTTCCTCCCTCCTGGCTCTGCTACTCTCTTCCATCCGGTTGGGGATCAAAGTCATCTCTTATTTAACACCCCCCTTGGAATAAATTCCTCTACCTACTCCCTAACCCCTTGGGAAGGTCCACAGGCAGGACCAGCTCTGCTCTCTTCCTGCAAAGCCACGTAACAGGCTCCAGAAACAAAGGGGCCTTAGAGCCCCATCCCCCTCAGAAGTGGGAGCTTTCAGAGCTCAGAGCGATCTGCTGCTTCTGGAGGGTCTTTCAGATAGTCTAGGGGCTTGGCTGGGCTCAGTCATCGTGCATTTCAGCAATTCTGACTTTATTTACTTGTTCAAACTGGAAGACACTTAGAGATTTTATAGTCCTGTGTTTCTCCAGGTATAGTCATGAGTGCCAGCAGGTGAGTTTAGGTGGTACTCAGATACAGCATTAAATCCTGAATTACCTGGGGGGGAAGTAGCTCCCTTTCAGTTCTCTTGTCTAGTACTTTGAATAATTCAAGAGGAATGTTTCATTTTTGTTCTAGTATGTCCTTAATAACTCTCTGGCATTTCTAATCTCTCCTGCAATCCTTATGCTGAGAGCCATTAGTGAATGTTGGGATCTTGCTACAATTTAATGGCCTTGTTTTGTTTGAGCTTAAGCAACTTAAAAATGTGGTAAAACAGACACAACACAAGATTTACCATTTAAGCCATTTTAAGTGTATAATGCAGTGACGTTGAGTACATTTTCATGGTTTTGCAACCATCACCACTGTCCATCTCCAAAACTTTTGTCATCATCTCAAACTGAAATTATATCTATAAAATCCCTGCAGGAGCATTTGGATTGTTTCCACGTCTTGGCATTATTGTGAAAAATGCTTGTACAAATACCTGTCTGAGTCCCTGCCTTCAATTCTTTGGGGCATATATGCTCAGAGGTGGATTGTTGCCATTAGTTTTAAGGTTACTTCCTATCTATGGCATGTAATACTGGCTTTCTCTTTATAACAGTGGTACAAAGTGAAAAAAAGAGTCAAAGAATATTAATAAGTAAACATTATTATTGATAGTACATGGGTAGGTCACAGATCGTAAGGTGCATTGAAATTGTTGACATCAGGGAACTGCTGATCTAGTGCAAGCCTCTCCCATCCCTGTAAGGGATCCAGGCTCTGGGAGGGGCGTGATTTTGGAGAGACACCTGGTTAGAACTCAGGGATTTCTGTGCTCATGAAGAAGATGACAGAGGAAAAGGAATCCAGGTACATAAAAAGGAACAATAACAGAAGTATGTGCAAAAGTTTCCTAAAGTCTAACTTGAGAGTATGTGACCTCTTTTAGAATTAAGGTAGAAATTAATATAAGGACAGCAAAAGACTTTTAGGATACTACAGGGATTATAAGACTGGACCAGAGATATCTTATATGCTCTGCTTCTGCTTAAAACGCTTTGCAAGCTCCAGAGCAGGACCCCACGCATAGGAGGATATGGAATGGAGACCCAGAAGAAGCATATTCCTCTGTGCCTTATAGTGAAAGACTTTAATAATCAACGTTATAAGGTAATGGAGGGAAGGGCATCGAAACTACAAAGAAAGTTTTGACACCCACCCTCCCCCATAGTAAATGTAAGTGCAACATGATCCAAGAAGATCATAGGGATGGTGAATATTTTAGAAAGAGACCAGGAAATAGATGAAGGACAAACAAGAGTACATCTGTTATCCATTAGCCTCTCTCCCTGCTCTATGTCTCCTCTGAGGCAGAGACCATATCCTCTAGCATGTTTTGTGGCATGTAAAAGTGCTCAATAAATAGCTGTTGGACTGTTCAAATGAAGGGAGTATGTGATAGGTGGATCTTTTATTGGCAAAAGAATTGCCATATATAAATCCTTGCTAGTCCTGAAAGATTATTGAACAGCTAGTGAATATAAAACACAGGCCTTGATATATCTATTTTTTTGATTAATTAATGCCACTTGGAGAATCTGAGAATATGCAAATTAAAGACTGGTAAAAGACCTATACAAAACATAGCAAAACACTGTAAAGTGTATTAAAAACCAGTAATGTATAACCAGAAGGGGAAAAAATAAAGCCAATCATGGTGATCTCCTTCTAAGCATTGTTCAACAAAGCTCTCTGTCGATGCTAAGTTCATCTAGAAAGACACTGAAGAGAAGTATTTGTCTTACCTTTGCATCAGACCTCGTAGGGAAAGGTTTTCTCCAGCTTGTGTTTTTATGGTGAAGCAAATTTTCCTGAGAGCTGAAGCGGGCTGGAGACTGACATCTCTGAGGAGGATGAAACTGCATGCTTTCTTTATGATCTGGGGAAAAGGAAATTCACCTATAAATATGATTTTGTTACTGTTTCAGATTACCTCCCTCCAACAAGGAGCTGGAACTCATCACTCCTTCCTATGTCTGGGGCAACCTTCTTGGTCTACACTACTGTCATCTCATTCTGGACAAGCAATCTCCTCTGGATTGTTCTCTTGCTTCATCTTTTGCCCCTTTCTCTCTTTCTAGGGCATCTGGAGTAATCTTAACAAAATGTAATTCTGACTTTGTTATTCCACCTGGTAAAAATCCTTCCATGATTTCCTTTATACCTGAAAGAAAATCCAAATGTTTTACTTCTGTCAGTAAGGCCTGGAATAATCTTACCTATCCATCCATCCGTCCCACATCGTCTGCTCTGTTCTGGTCATAATGAATCCATCCGTCCCACATCGTCTGCTCTGTTCTGGTCATAATGAACCCTGTTCAGTTTCTTAAACAAGCTAAGCTTGTTCTCAACTCAGAACACACTACTTTTATGACTTGAAAGAATAACTTTTTGTTTTAATGGAATATCACTTTTTTTAACCTAAAAGAATGACTAACAGATAAATTATGGTTATTCAGACTTGGGCAGTTGGCAGATATTTTATTAAAAATGAACCAAGTAAGCCTGTCACTTTATGGAAAACAACTGGCAGTATTTGTTGCCAGTTATAAAATTAGATTTTTCTAGTGCAAACTAGAATTTGGAAAAGCTTGTACCTACCACCGTTACATAACAACACACTTTTCTGATGAGACTGGTGGTGTTATTTGCAGATGTAATTAAAAAATATTATAAAATGTGTTAACATTGGAAAGATCTGCTCAGGTCTGTGAATAATATTCCAAGTGACCAATGCGTGAAATTACAAAGTCATGCCTGGTTAGAAGATGCTTTAAAAGAATAAGATAGACCAATGGACTTCAAAGTAACAGAATACAAAAAGCTCATTGAAAGGGTTTAGTGTTCACATGGAACCTAAACCTTGAGATACTACCACTTGTCAAGTTTTGACATGGTGTTTTCTCTTTATATTCAATGAAAATAGCATATTTCCACTGCACGTCATTCTCATAAACACTAATAAAGGATGAAATCAAGGCCACAAGGAAGGAATGAAGTGTTGGGAGAAATACTAAGCAAAGATATTTGTAAATATGTTAGTAATTTTAAGCAAGGATTAACTGTATAAAAATCATAAAGCCTTGAGAGTATGAAAACAATATCAAAGTAGAATACTGGACAGTAATAATATAACGTGGAAGAAAGGCGATTAGTATAAAGCCAGAACTATAAGCTACAGAGTCTTAATTCAGTCTAAAAATATAACTAAAATTATGGGCCTAGTTAGTAGCTGAATAAGAACTTTGAAAGAGTAAGATACTTTTGACAGTGTACTTTGAAACACAATACTGATAGCAAATATTTACATGCTAGTTACTGTAGCACTTAGGTTTTATGTTTTTATTCTGCTTCTTGTCATAAAAAAGCTGAATTTTTCTCTAAGTTTACTAAGAAGAACAGAGTAGCATTTTACATTCTATTTTAATGGTTTCAAGGATTGTGGCTTTTAATGTGGAGCCTAAGAAGGTTTGTTATAGGGAATGACGTGTATGAAAACGTTTGTTGGAAAATGTTTGTTTGCTTGAAGTTTAAATCACATTCATCATAGTAAGTTAATTTCACCCACCAATTTATGACCTTAAAAATAGGAATTATGCTAAAGACATCTCTGATTTTCAAATTTTATAAGTAAAGGAGCTTAATTTTCAAATAGTGCAGAATCCATATCATCAGAATTAGGGCATTCCGAGTTTCTTCTGTTGCTTGGGAAGAGGATATGAACCTCAGATTTTTAAAATTCAAGCATGCTTTTATTTAAAATGTTAAAGGTCATGAATGGGTGAATAGAATTGGAATGTATAACTTCCAAGGGGGAGAAAGAGAGGGGAATTAGGAGATGAACCCACTATCTGTCAGGAAAAGAAATAGTCCAAAAAAGTAGGGCAAATAGGAGTCACAGAATAATATAAAAACTGATCTAAAATATTAGTAACCACAGTAAATGTCAAAAGTTTAAGCTAAGCCTTGAAAAATTAGGTGCAGACTAGTTTAAAAATTCCAGTTTTGTGCAAATATAATGACACCTAAATATAGTGACAAAGTGATCACTTAGGGAGGATGGAGACTATATACTAGGCAAATCCTAACCAAAAAGCTAAAAGAGCTCTTGTAGTATTTCCAAAAATACTTTAAGAACTTTATTTTAAATGAGAGTGAAGTGGTACATGGAGACTTATTACTGAAATGGCCAGCGCTGTCTCTTCAACATGGATCGAAAGTGTAAGAGTGTACTTGAGAAAAGAAAATAACCATTATCAGCATTTTCTATCACTTGGTTTGTGTAGTTTACATAATAGTGTTCAGTGATTATGAATTTTTCATTATATTGTGGCAACTGATTTATTATATTTCAACTCTGAGTGCCTTGCTTGAATATTTAAAAAGTCTGACTTGAAAAAGAGCATTTGGGAACAGCTATATGCATTTGTAGTCTATGCAGAGAATGAGTTAAATGGAACAAAACAACAAACAGAACAACTTTGCTGTGCTGTTTTCCCCTGAAGGCCCTTTGGATCTTTGTTTAATGAGTGAATGAAATTCTGAGCATGTAATCCACTATAAATATTTAACTGATTTTGTTCTAGAATAATGGCAGCTGATCTTTGGAAATTATACATATATTACATATCATAATATATGTTATATATTATATATACAAACATTTATACGTATACAGATACACATATATACATATATACATATATATTTTACATGAAACTGCATTTTAGTTTTATAACCCCATGAAATAGGACTCTCCTACTTGGAGAACAGAGGGCCACATTAATGAAGAGATTGACACAGAGTAAGTAGAAGAACATTGTGGGGAGGATACTGTGTAGGTGGTCAATAAAATTTGAGGCAGGGCAGCCTAATAAAAAAGGCATGGGTTGTAGAATCGTATTGATATCAATAATTACTAATATTTCAAAATTCTTCTGTATATAAAGCTGTTAGCGTGGTGTTTGACCTGTCCTGATCACTCAAAAAACACCACTGCTTATGTTGTTAATATTATAAGAGAAACACAGTTTTAGACTTTTCTTTTGTAAGTTATATAAAAGCATTTTATTTTAAGCAGGTATCCATACATATATATTGGTAAATTTTAAGTTACTCTTACATGCAATTTAAAAATTAATTTTATAAGATAAGAGCCATGTCTTTTAAAGAATGTTTTTAAAATGCTGATAGAAAAAGAAAACGTCAGAAAACAAAAATTTAAGACAAAAAGCACATAGATCATCTACAATCCCAAGCTTAGAGGTTAATGTTATAATTTTGGAGTAGAGCCGAACCTTTCTGGACCATCTTCCAATATATCAAAACAATTTATTTTTTGGTCCTGATACCCATTTGCTTAGGCTCTGTGATGTGGTGATGAAACATGTGTTTGGTTATAGTCAGTTAACAGCTGCTCCAAAACCTTTGGAATTGTCATAGGCAATTAAAACATGGTCTTATCAGAACAACAACAACAACAACAACAACAACAACAACAAAAACCTTGGGAATTTCCTAAGTGATAAGAATGACACAGTTACTTTAATATTTATAACAAGCCCCTTGCAACCACACCTGAGTTTATGTTAATGAGGTGACTTTCTGAAAGTGCCTAGGGATGGTTGACAGGTAAATCAGCCATGTGCCTGGAGGGTTGGAACTTTTAGTCCCACCCCCTTGACCTAGGGAAGAAGAGAGGGGCTGGAGGTTGAATCAGTCACCAGTGACTAGTGATTTCATCAATCGTGCTTATGTAATGAAGCCTCTCCAAAACCCCAAAGGATGGGGTTCAGAGAGCTTCTAAGTTGGTGAACCAGAATGCTTCCACATGCCATTATACAGGGCCCCAAACTCCATGAGGACAGAAGCCCCTTTGTTTAGGATGTTGCCCTATGAATCCTTTCCATCTGGCTGCGGCTGAGTTGTGTTCTTTTACAATCAAATGCTAATCCAGCAAGAAAAATGTTTCTGTGAGTTCTGTGAGCCACTCTGGCAAATTAATTGAATCTAGGGAGGGGCTCGTTGGAATCTTGGATCTATAGCTGGTTGATCAGAAGCCCAAGTGACATATGCTTGGCATCTGGCATGGGCTGGTGGGGCACAATCTTGTGGGATTGAACACTTTACCTGTGGGATCTAATGAACTCATGTAGTGTCAGAATAGAGTTGAACTGTAGGTCACCCAGCTGGTGTCGAGAATTGCCTGGTGATGTGGACCCCCCCGCCCCCGACTTTAGAATTGTTGGGTATAGAATTCTCCGACTCCTAATAGCTTAGCTTGAATTCATTAATTAGGGAATTGAGCCAAGTCTGTTTATCAAGTAGTAGCTGAACTATAAAAAATAAGCATTTCCCAAATTCCTTTCTCATTTGTAGAATAAGGATAATATCCCCATTGACAGAGGTGTAGATTTCACTATTCTGCATGAAGAGTGCTGACTTCTTCTGCTCAGGCATTCAAATTAAAACCAGTAAGCCTTAGAGAGTCTGCTAGACTGAAAACTGAGTGCTGGGATTGTGTGGTTTTCTATGTATCTAGTTTCTGCCATGCCCTGGTGATCCAGAAATGAATTTTCACCTAGTAGAATGAACACCTGCTCAGTAAGCCGATGGCGGAGCGAGGCAGGTGTGAAAGCACTGATTAGCTGAAGGGCGGGGCTGTCTCTGTTCTGGCTTCTTAGGGCCCAGCCTGATTCTGTATACAACCCATGTGCTTTGTGGATGTTTGATGACTGAAAGAGGAATGAATCAGTGGTGTCTGAAGGCTCTGGAAACATTTCCCCTGTCCATTCTGGGCTGTTTCCTTCATCAACCGTTTCTCGGACACGAGCGGAGAACAGTCTGCAAGAGCTCAGTACAGATGATATACTCCTGGTCCTGGGGTGCTTGGCTGGACTCATGTCTGTGAAGGCCATCCGCTTCACTAAGATGGCTATTCCAATCTTGAATTGCTCTTCATTTTTCACTTGTGTATGGTTTCGTCTTTCAAATTAAGACTTTGGAATTCTCTCTATGCAGATTCTGCTTCCCTGCAGCATATTCTCACAACCCTCACTCAGCTCCTAGACTTTCGCCCCTGGATGCTGCAAGTCTTTTTATCTTCCTACACCTAGTCTGGCCTCCGGGACTACTGTTTCTGCCATTTGATTCTTAGGGATTCAGCCCATCCCATTAATCACAGCTCTTTTAACTGCCTTCCTTCAAAGAAGGAAGTCCTCTCTTGGGAAACGCCTTTTTTTAATTAAAGATTTTATTTATTTGAGAGAGAGAGAGTGAGAGAAAGAGAGAGCACGAGAGAGGGGAGGGTCAGAGGGAGAAGCAGACTCCCCACTGAGCAGGGAGCCCGATGTGGGACTTGATCGTGGGGCTCTGAGATCATGACCTGAGCCGAAGGCAGTGGCTTAACCGACTGAGCCACCCGGGCGCCGCTCTTGGGAAAGTCTTACTAGCAATGCGCACACATCGTGGGAACTAAGCTTTCCAAATTGGTTCTTCAGTCTAAGGCATAGATAGTGTAGGGCAGAAGAGGAATAAGGACAAGATGGAGGGGAGGCAGAAAACACTTAGGTCTAATGGGTCAGTTGGGTTGGGAATCTCTGGAGAAGGAAGCATATTTATTAAAATGTGTTAGTTGCCTACTGTGTATCACACGACTGTGTGTGTGTGTGTATGTGTGTGTGTGTGTGTAACCCTGTGAGTTAATATTATTATTTGGATTTTGTGGATGGAGGGAGGGTGAGGATCCAAGAATGAACTTGCTCAAGATGACCCTATTGCAGGGAAGGAGGCAGCACTGGGACTCAGGTCAGTAGAACCCTCAGTCATTCCACTATATCCCATGGGGTCTGCTTCCTCCAGCTCTAAGCCCTCTTGAGGCTCAACAGAAAGAGACTGCAGGATTAGACCTGGACACAGAATCTCCATAGCATATGGAATGAAGAAAGAAATGCAAAAGTACATGATAGATTTGTTTGAACAAAATAATACTAATCAAAACCCACCACCAATAGTAATATAACGCTATATTTATATGTTGCTTTAGACATCTCTGCAGACAGGTATCCTATATTTATCTTTACAGTCAATTAGTAAGAGGAGTCAATTTGATTTTCTTTGTTTGACTTACTTAAATCTATTTTATATCCAAAGGATTGGCAAAAACTAAAAGTTTGTCAAGAACAACTGTTGGAGATGATGGGGAATGAGTAGGACTCATAAGCTGTTGGTGACCCTAACATGTCTGCTTTGGAAGATGCATCTAGTACAATTGAAGAGAGGCATAGCCTCCGACCCAGAAATTTCACTCTTAGAGAAGTTACCGTGTTGTGTACATGGGAAGACTTCTACAATATTGTTCATAACATCATCATGTTCATAAGAAGAAAACTCTGGAAACCACCCAAGTGATCATATTGAATTACGGATAAAAATTGGGATATTAACAAATGGAATACTATCTGTCAATGAAAACAAGCTCATTACACCTACACGTATCAGCTCAACGGCGTGGAGGCTCGCAAAAGCTAAGTCACAGTGCAGGGATGTCATAGTGTGCTGGCTTACCTGTTTGTTTTATAATTCTTACATACAGTGCTCTTACCTCTGTTTTGTACACTGTGGTTCCTGGTCATGAATGGCGAGCTAAAGGGAATGTTAGAATTGACAGAATGTTGGTATTTCCCATAGTAGGTAAAATTCCATTCAAAGGCAATGTCACTCATAATGGACTAAGTCCCATTTACAAAGCACTTTATATTTCACTGGCTGTGCTACAAGAATTTCTGTTTTGTAAGGCAATAGGCGGGTGGTTCTTTCTCTCTTTTCTCAAGGCAGGCAAACAGATATGGAACAAATTGACCCATACAAGTTCTTTCCATCATATTTCAGTAAGCACATATCATGATTCTTTGCTTTTGGAAACCATGAATTCAGACTTGCCTCGTAACTACAGTCACTATAGATAGGTGGCGGGTTGGGGCTAATATTCTATAGAAATTGTTTACTAGCTGAAGGAGAGCGAGCCATAGCAAGCAAGAGGAGCACAGAAATTATTTTGTTCCTTCCTGAAATGTGAGCTAAGTGAGAAAACTGGATTATTATTGGGAAATCCATAAGAGAGAAAGGATTATAAAAATATAATAAAAGACTCTTAAAACAACAATATGCAAGCGAGGGAAAGGGAGGTAATGGGGGATGGAGATCATGCCCTTGATGTGCAGGCCTGGCATGGCAGTGAGAGCTGACATTTATTGGGCACTGGCAACAGGGCTGGCTCTGCTCTCAGCGTCTACTGTAGGACGAGCAATGTTGCCCAAGGATGTGGTTTGCTAGTGATGAGGTGGGCAGTCGGATTCTGGTGAATCTCTCCTGACTACTTCTCTTTTCTACCATAGACAAGGTACATTCCCTGTATTTATTGAATAAATAAAAGATAGCATCTTAACTGTGGGCAGGGCACCAGGGAAAGTCAGCATTCCTACATTTTCAGAATCAAGCCTTTTGGCAGCATGGGCTACTGTTTGGGCTTCGAAGTTGGACTTGACTTCAGTAGTAGGGGACTCCACCTCTCTGGGCCTCATTCCCTCTGGGGAGTGGGTCAAAACTATCTCCTAAATTCAGTGTGGCTTTAAGCTGGGGTCTGGTGGCTGAAGAGGGGTTTTTCCAAGTAGGGAGAGGGTGGAAAGAGGGAAATATGGGGGGAGGTGCCGCATTATGTGACAACAGGGATTGAGACAGTGGGAAAGTGGCATGAACTGAGGCTGGAGCCACTGGCCAGCTTGGGGTCATGGGGACCTTAGAAGCACTAATTTTGGAGGCCCTGGATTTTGTTGTAAGGAAGCCACCACTAATTTATAGTGACCTTGGTCAGTGAATCACTGGTCTGAGCCTTTGCTTCCTCGAATCTTCATTTGGGACAGCAGTGGTCACAATAACCCCATCAGGCAGGTGTTAAATCAGATAACAGCATTTTCAACCTCCAACCATCTATAAAGTTTTGTTCAAAAGTAGCTGTCAGTTTCTGTGTGGTAACTTACAAGTTACCAACTGAGAATAATTAGAAATAGCCAATTTTCCCCCCAGATTTGCATCCATTCCAGTTAAACCTGTCTAGTTCGTATCCAAGCCTTCAGATCTCCCAAACTTCTCTAACAAGCAATCACTAGTAAATTACAGGAAGAACAATGCCATTAGCTTCCCTAACAACTGTGACTCACACATTTCCCTTGGGCCTCATCACTGGGCTTCATTATCAAAGACCAAAGACTTCCCATTTCTCAGGAAGCCTTCGTGCGTCATTATCCAGGACAACACATGGCCTGACCCCCAGGCTGCCGCCCAACAAGGCATTCCTGTCTCCTTACCTGGCAATGGCAAGAGGAATCTCTGGAGTGCTTTGATTTTGTGACAGGTGAATTGATTCAGGCTTCATCTGGTAATGAGGAACTGCATAAAAGAGTCACAAAATTTGGTCAGGTTGTAAAAAGAAAATGATTGGGGACCTAATGGAACTTCAGTGATTTCATCTGAGTGATCTCTGAGTAGTAGGAGCGGGCTGTTTGTTGGTGGTCAGCAGAAACCGTAACCTACATATTCTACAACTCCCCTCGCTCCCGTGGGCGGCTTTTCCCTGAGGCTATAAAAACTGTTTCGAATCGTGAATATTCAATAGGATCAAGAATACTGAATCTGGAATTCATCATTGAGCTTCCTGAAATACAGAATATCACATTGGAAGGTATTTGGTATTGGAAGGGCTTGGTGTGGAAGTGAACCAAAGTTGAATTCTGCATTCAAATGAAAACTTACATAGGAACATAAATAAAACAGTGAAACTTGAGAACTGCTCTGGGCACGGGGTTGCCCAGTGCTGGCCCACGCTCTCCTGAAGTCTCGCATCTCTTCTGCGACAGGGCTGGAGAGCTCCCAGGATTCTGATGTAGACCAGCCGTGCCTACCTGCTTACCAGCAGGCATACGTTTTCTCAATTTTCCCCATTTGATCTTTAAGTTTTGAAAAGATTTGCCAACCACATGAACTGGAGTTATTTAGTAATTACATATGCCATGGATGTGACCACTATTTATTTCCTTTTCATCATGAATAATCTGCCATCCAAATCAGCAAGGGATGTAATCATACTATGATATGAAATGCCATAAAACACTCTCCCAGTTGCTATCCTTAGTAGTAAAGTTAAGGAAGTGAATCGACATTGACATGTCTTAATTCTGGTTGTTGCTCTGTGCTCTTTCTCTGTCCAAGGTGGGTCACAGACTGGACACCTCTGATTGAAGGGCTGTGATTACTTGCAATGTGAATGGGGTCAATGCCTGGTCCACTAGTCACCCATCCCGTAAAATCATTTGATGTCATCAGCAGCCACCCAGAGCTTCTGCCCCTCATGCGCTGAGCAACGTGACATCATTGCACTGATAATCCCAGAAGTCCAAGACGACAACATCTGAACATTTTAGTGAGGATGTTGAGTTTCAGTGTGGAAAAGGGCACAGTTTACTTTAGGTTTTAAAGTTATTTAGAATTGCCAACTGACCCCCACTTCTCCATGAGGGACCCTTGAGAATCTACAAACCCTGGTTAGGCCCACTTAAGCCTAACTCCCTCTGTATAAAGAAAAGCAGACTTGAGACCCACAGATGCAACGCAGCGTGGCCAAAACAAAACAGTGAGTTGGTGGCAGCCTCTGAAATCCTAACCGATGTTGCTTTGTGGGACTATGCTGCCCGTGTTAAGTCTCTGGGTCATGGCTCAAATCCTTGGACTTTGACATAACTCATCATTGTAAGTGAATCAGGTGAATGGTATTTCAAAGGTGGGCATGAACTTGCTGCTGCTTAGCATCTACCAATGATGTGCATACATGCATATGTGTGTGTGCACAATCAAATGAGGGTCTATGTGTGTGTGCATGGGTACCATCAAAGCCAGAGAGACCAAGAGCTTCTCTGGAGTAGTGGGCCAAGCACGTCTTTCTAAAATGGCAGGGGCTGACAGCGTGCCTCCTTCTAGTCGGTTGCCTATGGCAGAAGAAAGACCTCCACCTGAGCCTCAATTTTAATCTCCTTTTTTCAACCAGAGGGCTCTTGAGTAGACTAGGCGGTCCTGGGCCCACCTGGATCACATCATCATGCACACACACACAGGTGCTTCTATATGCCAGGCCCTGAAACAATCCTTTTTAAAAAATGACTGATGCTATAAATCTGGAAATGGAACTTAACCTAATAGTATTGGTGTATGAAAACAAATGTAAACAGCTTACCTCTCTCTGTTCCAAGGACCTGCATTGAATTAACAACAACAACAAAATAACGTTGAGTGAATCTTGGTGATAGAGAATTTTACATTAAACCATGGTTTTTTGGAGCAATTGGTTAGTAGAATTTGGACAACATTTTTGTTAGTATACATTTTTTAAAACCTACAAATAATTCTCCAAAAGACTAAGCAAAATCAAAATGTTATACTCCCTGTGTGAGGCAACAGGCAAATATACAGTCTGCTGATGGGGCTATAAATTACTTTGACTCTTCTGAAAGCAGTTGAACCATAGCTGTCAAGAACCTTAGGATTGCTCCTATCTTCGTCCCAATAATTCCATCGATGAGACTTTTTTCCCTAAGAAAACACCTGAAATCTGGACCCAGTTCCATGCCCAAAGACGTCCAGTACATCATTACTTATGGTGTTAAGCCCTGGAAACAATCTACATGCCCATCTAAGTGAGAACAGTTAAGTAAATTTTGGTACTGTACTGACTTATTGGAATATTATAAATGCATTGCAAGTATTTATACAGAGTATGAAATAGTATACTACAAGTACGTCTCAATGTTATGTGAAAAGTTCCGGCTACAAACTGGACTTAGGATGTTTTTTACATGCAGGCGTGTGTGTGTGTTGGGGGGAGTGTACCAACCTTGGAGCCCAGATCTCCTGACTCACCTTGGCTCCACAGACAGGAAACCTTTAGCAACAAATAGCTCAGAGAGGCATTGAACCTCTTGTCTGAAGCTAGCCAACAGGCAAGCCCCTTTGTTTTGAAAACTTCCGTGTCAAAGAGTTGGGTTCTGGGAAAGAGGCCATACATTTCATCATGGGCAGCAAATCAGGCAAATCTATAGGCTAAGTAAGAAGGATAATGAATCCATCCTAATGAGTGGTTTGAAAGTCTCCCCACTGAGTCTTGCCCGGGACTTTGGACCTGGCAGTTCTAAGGGCCCAGTCAGAGGCTGTTGGGGAGACAGCCTTGTTGAAGACAATCTCAGACCTTTTCAAGGAGTTGGGGGAACAGAGCTGGAAACAGGGCTAAGAAGCCATCTGTCTGGGAGAGCAGGTGTTTTGTTTAATTGAGATCCAGCCCACTTTGTGCTTAAGGGCTCTGGATTTAAAATGGAATGCGATTAGAAAAGTGGGGTAAAATCTCTTCAGTTTACCTACTTTACTTTTTTTTTGTTGTTAGAAAATAAACATTCAAGTTAAATAGTAATGGCTCCCTCTTTCCTTCCTTCCTTCCTCCTTCTCCTCCCTTTTTTTTGTCTTTCAAGCTACTTTCGCTCGGAGGTGTCTGTGTTTCCCGAGGCAGAGAGTCACAGTGTGGGGAGTGGACCTGGGTTTTCAGGGGCTGGCCCTGTCTTCTGCAAGCTGTGGGGACTCTGGAAAATCTTCTACCCCTGAGGATTCTTTTTCTCTTAAGGTTTTGTGCGAATTAAAGGAGACAATGAGTCTCTCTTTGACAGCTCTAATGTGCTATGTGAAGTTGAGTTGGGGCGGGCAGCACACCACTGCGGCTGGGAATGGGTTCTGGTTCCCAAGATATAATGTGAGTGAGCACTTCACACCCAGGCATGGTATTTGCCCTATGAGATGGGCTTTTGTGGTGGAGAAATGGCCTTGACTCTGGGCCCAGACAAACAATGGGGAAGTGTCTTGGCAAAAGATAAGGAGGAAGAATGTGTTTTTCCAGTAGGCGGTGTTGTTCTTCAGATGATATCTACTTCTAGAATGCCAGGCAAAGTCACAAAGAAAACAAACTGTCCTGCATGACCCCTGCTGTCTGAGGCTGACCTTGCTACTTCCTTCTTGCTCCTTACTGATTGGAAGGCCTGTTGTCTTTGCAGGCTGACCCACGAGTTGTGGACTACACATCATCTTGGGTGGCAGCTGTCTGCAACCAGGGACACATAAATTTGACCCACAGGAACAAGGGGGTGGAGTCAGAGAGTGCCAAGTAGCAGAGTGCCACACCCACCTTTCTCCTTCCGGGGGCGGGGGTGCCCTTGGAAAATCCAGCAACTCCCAGGAGAGGGAGAGCCGGGTGAGGTCCTGATTGGAACCAGGGCTCACTTTCTCATTCAGCAGTAATGTGCCGTCCTCCTTGCCATGATTATCTGATGAATGAGAGGTAGTAAGTGTCTTGCTGAGTGACAAGTGAGAAGTGCGACTTTTGATTTTAGCATTCTCGTAAAGCCAAATAAGAAAGGACAGACGGACAGACAGAACAAAAGAAAGAAAGAAAATAGATGACCCTCTGCCATCTGTATGTAAGAGCATGGTCGAAATACTAAGACAAGAACCAAGTCCCTTAGGAAGCCAGTGGGAATGAGGTGAGGCCATTCTGGTTGTTGGAGAGTGACTTTTCATCAGTCACAGCGGACCTACCACTTCTTAGGGAACTTGCTCATTGGGGGTTAGGGAGCTGAGTGTGGAGGGGCTCTAAGGCAGCTCCATGATACCTGACTTGCATGCTGTTTATTGAGCTTCTACTGCTCAGCTGGTCATTATGCACTTGCTTTGAATTACTTTAACTTTTTTACAACAACTTTGCAAAGAAGTATATCTATCTCTATTTTATGGCCAAGAAAACAGAAAGAGGGGTGGGGTTGTGTGTATATTCAAACCCAGGTCTGTGTGAGTCTGTATCTCAAATTTTTTGTACTGAGCCAGCTTGTCTTCTCTTATGAAGACCAAATGTCAAGGTATAGTACAATTTCCAATATCCTATTTCTGTAAAGCTGAAGACTGGAAGCCATTGGTAGAGGCTTTATGTCTTCCATGGAAACTGGGTGCTCTTCATTGGACTGGTGAACTCCTCAGTATATTCGGGTGGCAAAATAAAACCTTGGACTAAGATCTGGATCTTGACATGTTTTGCTTTAGTTTTCTCATCTTCAAAGTAGAGCTAATAATACATTTGAGCATAGCTCTTATGAAAATTAAGTGTGATAAAGTCTCTGAATCAGATAGTGTCTTGCCCATCACAGATGCTAATGCACAGAAATCCCTTCTTTGTTTCCTAGGACAAAATTTCCACTTACCTCACTTAAGTCCTTTAAGTTTATCTGCCTGTAAGGAAAATAAATACGGTGTTACATAAAATACACTTCATAATCAAGATAAAATCACTCTGAGCACTTAAAAACCTTTGACTGCGTTTTCATTGCCAAATTAACAGCCATGGTCCAGTGTGATATCCATCACTGTACTATAAAGCAAAAGCCAGGTTATTTTTCTCATAATTGTCTAAGCAACAGAAGAAGTTACGAGGCAATATGAAAGGTGGTGACAGAAAGGGGACATGAATAAACTAGCTTCTCATTTTTGGAGAATTTCAATAACGTCTTCATTTCTCCTGACATTTGGTTTTCCGTGTTGGGTTTCATTAGCACAGTCGGACCTGCTATTATTAGCTTGATTGCAAAGTTCTTCGTGTTTTGCTTTGAGGAAGCATAAAGAGTCTTACGAGTGAAGTTGTAGGGTACAGCGGGATTCCCAGGAAGCCGATGCTTCCGTGAAGGGAGACTGAGACAGACCATGAAATGAATGATGGGGTAAGAACTCAACGCACAGTGTGCTGACGTGCGCCCTGGGCAGGTCTCAGAAGAGCCAGCAAGCCTTTCGTGGATACTGTCAATTCAATCACTTTGCCCCTCTGAACCTCGTCTTTCTCATCTGCAAAATGGCCCCAAGAGCATTCATCTTGGGGGGTTACTGTGAGGATTGCTAGCGATAAGGATGACAATGTGGGGCGCTCAGTGGGCTCTGCTGTTGGGATGTGGTCAAAGTCAGATGAGGAGTGATGAAGGCGTGGGGGTGACAGGCACATTCTATCTGCCTGGGTCTGCTGGAGAGGGTCTGGTCCCGAGGGAATGTGGGGAGGTTTAGACAGCAACACCAGCCGCAGAAGACGACTGTTGATCTAGGGTGATGGCGATGAGCCCAGGAGCACACAGCGCTCGGATGCTGCCTCCTGCTCTCAGACCACCAAGTAGCAGGCAAATGGACCGAGGGCCATATTTTGTAACCAGCTCATCAGCCCATCAGGGATGGTACGTCTGCCCCCTGCCTCCCACTTTTAATGGGGCAAGTGGGAAGATAAAGAGATATGATCAGAAGTAATAAACTTGAACAGACACCCATAGTATTAATTATTTGGGTTAAATTGAGGCTAATTTCTGTTTTTAATGTTTAAGAGACTCTGGCATTTTAGGATTACTGACCGATTGGCCATGTGGCCTCAATTTAAAATGTGCAATTGATCGTGACTTTAAGTGACAAGAGTCAAGCTACGTTTGCCTCCACTTACAAAGATTTCAAACTTTTGGAGAGAACTTGAATTTTTTCTAGATTTACATATTTACCTTCTTAGATTTATAAAAATTTATGAAGTTTTGCTCGTTAGGGTTTAAAGTTAGGTGTATACAGGTATTTCAAATGTTTAAGGAGGTTTAACTGAGTTTGTAAATAAGTCTTATTGTCTAAGGTTCCTTAACCTACCTAGTGTGACAGAGTGTCCTTCTTTTTAGATAGAATTGCTTGATTTGTAAATAAGTAATATACTTGATCAATGGAAATGTGAGGCTTTTGGAAAGTTAGGCTTTGGAAGTGGTAACATTAAAAAATGGCTTTTTAAGTAAGAACCCCAGTAATTGTAGGAGTGTTTTCTGTGCATGGCAATGTCTCTGGGCCTGGAAATGCCTATGTTGACAAGACTCCCTTTATCTATAAAATGAAGGCATCGGGCTTTGGGGTGGTTGGGGGTGGTTGGGGGGAGACCTGCACAGTCACAAAATGGCAGAACGGGGTGGGGACCTGCCTGCCCCCCCTGCCCCCGAGAACCACACCACCTCCCTGAGAGCGTCTTTCATCTCGTGTAAGTTGTCCCATGTTCTGTTTCAGAGATGGCCAATAAACCGTGGTCACTGCCCACATGGCACGAATAAGCTTCCTTGACATCCTTTCCTGTGCAAAATAGGTGCTCAGTGTGTATTTGAGGATAATCCATTTTACTTGTAAAAAGAGCCCTTCTTGAGCCTCCCTTGGATTTCGCTTAGTTTTAAATAAACCAGGTTTGAATCCTTGCTCTGTCATCTGTGAGCTCCCTCATCCTCTGGAAGTGAAGTCCCTTCTCTGAAGCTTGGTTTTCCCACCTGTAAAATGGGTAAGCCCACACAGAAATGAAGAGGGTTGATTAAGGTGCTCATGAAATAATATACATGAAAGCTATTTGGAAGAAAATAACACCTTCCATCTGCAGAACGCCTTTCACAGTGACCCTTTCTTTTAAATGGAACTTTTGTTCTGAGATAATTGTAGGTCTCCTGCTCATGTAAGAAGGTATACAGAGAGATCCTGTATGCACCTCACCCAATTTCCCCCAATGGCAACATCCTGCAAAACCATAATAATTAAATCCACTCTAAAATCAGTATTTCCCGTTAAGTTCCCGTTCCCATGCAAATTTGTTTATCTTCTTGGTAATCCATGCTTCCTCTCTTCAGGGACTCTGGTTTCTCAATATCTCCACCGATTTTTTTTTGTTTTCACTTTCCAAATCGTCAGGATGTACATTTTTGTCCCCGAGATTGCTTGAACTGACATGGTGCTGGCTTTGCTGGTTGCAAAGGGAAAACTGTAGTTTTGTTGGTTAAATAGCAGGTACCTTCTGTAAATTAGATTTTGGCTTAACCCTGCAGCATGGGGTTGGAGTTTGCTGAAGCTACAGGGAGACGTCGTGGCTCGTGACCTCTCTGCATTTCGGTGTCCCTCTCAGTAAACTGGAGATTGTGATCTTGCTCTCCGCACAATGTGCTTGTGGGACTACATGAGGTAGAGCATCCGAAAGACCCCAGAGTGGACCCATTGTATTTAATCAGAGCTCAGCAAATGTTGTTTCCCCTGATGATTACTCAGGATGCTTTTATTTGGTGCACATGCCATGGCATTAAAAATACAAGGGAGTTATTCCCTTTTTAATCTCTTTCTAATTATGTCAAAGAGAGAGTCTCCATGTGGTGATGACTTTATCCAAATATTGCTCTTGCATTTAATTGTCTTTAATTGTCTGAGAGAGGAAATGCCACTGGCTCAAAGTTTGGGTCTGAAACTGTCTGTGTTGTAGTTATGCTAATGATGTTCCCCTTTTAAGTACATTTCCTTACTTTAAAAAATGAGCTGAGCCAAAAATATTAAGTACGTGGATATGATAAAAATCATAACGGTACATCAATGGTTGAGAATGCCCAGTGAACATTCCCCTGACTTCAAAGTTCTCTTCTAGCTTTCAGTCGTTGGTGAAGGATTTAAGTGGCGTGTTCATGAACTGAAGTGCTTCGATTCAGCAATGGTTTTGTGAAGCCAAGACCTAGCTTTCAAACAGAGACTGGCTGAGCAGGTGGAGACAAATGGGTGCAGCAATGGGCAGAGCCGCATTCACCATCGGGAGAACAGAGACCGTTGTAAAGGGCTGCAGCTGTCGGCTGCCTTCAGTGGCCACCGTGGATTACCCCATGTGAATCACAGCCTCCCTTGACAGAGTGCCGTCCATCCCCAAGTGCCCACAGAGCAGCTGGTAGGAGGGGAGCGGGCACTAGTCTTCCTGCATGGACTGAAGCAGCTCAGCTCTCCAAAGTCCCTTCTGTTTTCAGAGAAAGTGAAGCTAGCCACAGCCTCCTGTGGTTGTGGACAGGCCACGTGTGGGTCATTAGAAATGGCCATCTGACTACCAATATGGCGCCCAACTCAAAATGAATTTGGCAGCTCTCCTCCTCCTTCCTGGTGTCTCACACAGGCTCTGCATGTTTTTGACCCTTCAACAGTCCTACACCAGCCCTATAACTTTGACCAAGTCACCTAACCTCTGTGAATCTTAGTGACCCTATGTGCCCAGTGGGTAGGGAAGTGATTTTTACCAGGCACCTACTACGAACCAGCCACTGAGCCTTTGAAAACCATACTTTAGAGGGCTGCTGGAAGCATATAGTAAGATGGGATGTCATGACACTCTGGAGGGGTTGATGGTGAAGAGACCTAGCCAGGTTCTTGTCACTTCTAAAAGCGATTAAACAAATTTAACTATGGCTGCAGAAACCCAAAAGGATGCAAAATGCAAACTTGTAAGGATTCCAACACCATGGTGTTGGCTGCACTATAGGTTGGAGTGATCCAGACTGCGGAGGAACTCATTTGCAGATCAAGGGAGTATTATTTTAGACGCTGGAAGCTGGAGCATATGTAGGAACGGCCTAAAGACCATCAAAGCTTTACTGACAGATTCTTGGAAACTGGTTCCCTCTGGGTCCTTAGCTCCGCCCGCATGTCAGATTCACCCAGCAGAGCTTTAAAAAACAGTGGTGGGTTCTTCTTACCTCTCAGAGTGATTAAAGCACATACTGGGGAATAGTACTTTTAAAAAAGCTTTCCGAATTATTTTAAGGTAAAGCCGGAATGAGAAACATTGCACTAGAATATATAGCCTGTATTTCAAGAGAAAAATAGGGTTATGGGTGCCTAATTCTGTTGGGAACAGATGGGAGATGATGTTCAGGTATTTTTCTTTCTTTCTTTGCCGTGGCAGATATTCTCCTAGGCGCTCTAGAGAAATCCTTACCACTCTGTCACATGGGGACAGTTCCGCTGTCTTCACAAACACGGAAACTCAGAACCGTTTGAGAGCTTTATGAGATGAGGTAGCCAGAAGTGACTCAGTGGGGATCCAAACCCAGTTCTGCTGGGTCCCAATACCTGTCCTTTCCAGGATGAAGAAACAGGAGGAAGAGAAGATCCTCTCTTTTTCTCCACACTGAACAACCTCATCAGCTCTGATATTTTATTCATCCTATGTTTGACCTCCTTACTTCTCTGAGTTTTGACCAGTTCTGAACATATTAGACTATTTGGTCAGTAGCGTCAGGGATTTTATGTTTTTTACATTTTACGTTTCCAGTTCTGATGACATCACTTTATGGGTTTCGTGGTCAGTTATTGGCTGTTGTCGCCTCCCTGTTTCTCTCACTTTGAAACTAGAAATCAAAACAGAGCAAACTTGGTGACTCCCAGTCTGGCTAGGAAACGGCAGAAGGAAACACAGATTTATCGAAGATGTACTATGTGCCAGGCAGACACTGCGCTAGGAACTACGCACACTGAACTGAGTCAGTCCCCCCTTTTGGGGTGGAACAGACAGACCTGTATCCAAATAATTATACAGGGTGAGGGATAGGCCAGGGTGCCAACAGGAAACGGCTCAAGGTCACAACTATGTGCTGGGCAGGAAGTGTGGAGCGCTTGGCATGATTCGTCTTGTGTAATTCTATTAGCCCATGAAGTAGGGGGTAGGTATTACTGTTATCCTCACTTTACCGCCCAGAAGGACGAGGGCTGGGTGAAGTTTAGTCATTTGCTCTAAAGCACTTTCTCAAGCTCTGCACTATTGACCTTTGAGGGCTCATTATTCTTTGTCATAGGGCGGTCCCGTACACTGCAGGGTGTTTAGCGGCATCTCCGGCCTCCACCCACCAGATGCCAGGAGAATTCCCACCACCTGACTCGTCACAACAAAATGTGTCTCTGGACACTGCTAACTTCTCCGAGGGCAAAGACACCTCCAACCCAATCTGCCAGTTCATAAGAAGGAACACCTAAATTTCAACTGGGGCAGTTGGAATCAACACCTGAGAGCTTGCATCCCTCCCCACACTGCAAAGGCCAGTGGAGAAGCTGGCAGACCAGGGGAAATGGCACGGGGGAGACGAGGGTTCTGCCTGGAGGAGGTATGTTTGCGTGGGGCTGCCAAGGATGAAGAGATGAAGAGACATTCACCAGAAAAATAAGGGGGAAATGGCCTTTTAGGCTCTTCAGCGTTCCCCAGCAGAACCAGTGATGACTGGGTTTTCCACAGAAGCTCAAAATGTGCCTGATATTTTTAATTTATCTATGAAAAATGCTGACTAACTAATGCCTTGTGCTCCAGCCTGCTGATTCAAGCTTTCCATAAGAAAGCATCATTGATTCCATGCAGGAACAAGAGAGAAATGTTAATCTCTGTTCTGACTTCAAAAATGAGGGCATTCTGGAAATTCAAACTCTCTTGGGGGGAAAAAAAGCACCTATTCGCATTTGTTACATTTTGTGATTGTTGTTGGCTGCCAGCTGACCCACACGTTTGGGAATGGGATTTTGTCATCAGCTAATGACAGAGAGTTGGCAAAAATGGCAATAATGTTTTTGACAAATGGGTTTTCACGCATGGTTGTATTCCCACAGCTGGGGTGGTGAGAAGCTGGGGGGCAGTATTGGTCCACAAGTAACCTGAACCCCCTTTCAGTTTTTACGTAAAAAGTCCTGATTTCTTTCTGGCACTTAACATTTCCTTCTGTAACAATTCAGGTCTCAAGTGAGGCTTTGTTTCAGTTTTATTACAAACAAGGTGTATTTTCTTTCTTTGTTTTTTTTTTTAAACGGTTTTTATTTATTTGTCAGAGAGAGAGATAACAGGGGGAGCGGCAGGCAGAGGCAGAGGGAGAAGCGGGCTTCCCACAGAGCAGGGAGCCCGATGCAGGACTCCATCCCAGGACCCTGGGATCACGACCTGAGCCGAAGGCAGACGCTTAACCGACTGAGCCACCCAGGCGCCCCAAGAAGGTGTATTTTCTGTTAAAGAATCAAGGTGCAGTTTTCTAAGAGTATTTTCCCTCCAGGCATCATTGGTTCTTCCCAGCACATTAGGGACACTATTTCCCGAGATCGCTGGTTGTCCTCCTCACCCTCCTGAGCCCACCAACCTCCCTGGGCATTTCACCAGCAACAACACCAAACCTGTCACCTGGGACCTTTCTGGACGTCAGGGAAGCTGATCCTCTGAGGGAGGGGTGACCGGCGGCTCTCCGGCCGGGGGGGCAAGGGCTGGTACTTCTTTGGAAGAGTGACAGGTGGCCTGTGGGAAGAGTCACAGTGAGAGTCTGAGAAGGTTAGCTGTGCAGGTGCCTCCTCAACCAGCCCTAGCCTCCGTGTCCCCAGCTTTGGGTGGGAAGTCCATTTTGGGGTGCTGGCTCCTTGACAGGGCAGTCTGATCCATTTCAGGTAGCTGCGATTATCCGAATACTGTAGTCATTCTCTTACTGAGCCTAAAGCTCCCTCCCTGCAACGTGCCCTTTGGTCTTGTTCTGTTTTCCAAAGGGCGGGATGTCATTTTCTGCAGGGCATCATAGATTTCTCAATATGCCACCTATCTGAGATGGAGGAAGACTGGAAGATGTGAGCTCTTTAAATGCCCCCAAAGAATTAGGAACATGTTTGAGAGTCAGTGAATATCTCACTCACCCATTTATTCTGACATTCACTCATTTATAAAGCCTATCAGGCACTATTGATGGAGGCTGGAGATGCAGAGAGCAAAGACACAGTCCATGCTCAAGATACTTCCCTCCAGAGTGGCAGAGAGAGAAGCCATGAGAGGTTACCAGCAAGGGTGGTTCGCGCTGTGATGGAGGTCCTCTTGGGCCTCCGAGTAGGACAGCAGAGTGCCTGACTCACCCAGAGCCTGAGAAGTCAAGGCTGTGACTCTCACCTTTATGTGTATGTATAATAGAATGATAGTAGTATTTCTATATATACCAGATAGAAAAATCTATGTGCATATATAAATATAGGCCTATACGTTGTAAGTTCCTGAAGGCATTTTCTAGGGCCAGTACTCTCGGGGGGGGTGGGTTTCTGTACTAAACGGAGGGAAGAAACAGGGAAAGGGGGCACATCTCGGACTGATGAGTGAAGGTACGTGGAGTGGCTGACTTGTTCGACCTTGTTCACTGGCAAGCTCATCTTAGTTTCTCAACTATCAATGGTTCGTGTTTTTCTTTTTTAAATTCTGGAACTAATCATTTAAGTGCGTAGCAAAATACAATTTCTATTTTAGGTGTCTTACCGAGGAGGTGGTAAAGGAGTCTGCAGAAGGAAAGAGAATCAGAAATTAAATTTATTGTTCTCTGAGCAGAAGTAATGCTTAACAATTTTGGGGTTTACAAATAGAAATGACAAATCCCAACCAAACGTCTGGGTTATATTTTTCAAGTGATATCTAAGCCTTTACATTGTCCACATCCCCATGCTTCTAAAATAAAGAGTGGGTAACAAACACATTTTAATGATTTCTCTTACCTTGTTTCCCTTTGTGGGTCTGTCTCCTGAAACATAAGAGGGAGAGCAGTGAGTTTATGGAAAATGTCATCAAGCTAGTTTTACATATGTTTGAATGGAAATCATTCCCATTTGAATAATCTTGATGATAATGTCAGTTAAGGTTTGTTGAGATCTTATTAGGTACCCAGGACCTAATTATACTAGTTATGTGATCTCATTCGATCCTGGCCTTTGTTCTGGAAGTGAAGAGCGAGGTATGGGAAAGTTACTCTCCAGTCACCCCGTAAATGGTAGAACGAAGACTTCATTGCATGCGGTACGACTCCCAAGGTCCCCCTCTTAACCACTAATTCTTGATTAGAATTAACATTCTTATATATCTCTATAGTTATCTCATTATTTCAAATTCCTGCCAAACACCCTCACTGGATATTTCTGAGCAGAGGAAAATAGCATCACAGTATTTTCCAGATGGGAGGGTTTTTCTAAGACTCCCAAATCCAACTTTTATTTTAGACCAAAGTAAGGACAAACTAGGTAGGACAGTTGCTCAAGACCACCCAACCCGAGAAAAGCCTGAATGAAGGTCAGGAAGGCTTTTCCTGACTCTTAGGTAGTTTTATTTCCACGATTGGATTCAACTCAAAGACAGTTATTGGGCTACTACTGTGAGCTAAGAGTAGCACAGAACCAGGCGCCAGAATAGAGAGACAACAGGCCTTCCCCTCAAGGTGCTTATGGGTGTTCGGTCTCCAGGCAAAGGTCTGGGTTCTGGGGATGCAGTGAGGGGGGTGATACACTGTCCCTGTCACCAGAGGGTTTATACCTAGGAGCACAGATGTGCACTGAAAACACTATTAAATCCCTGAGAATTTGAGAGAGAAGGTCATGGTATTAAAGGGACACACAGGACATTTAAGTTAGTCCCGGGGTGTCAGAAAAAGCCTCCTTGAGAAAGCAACGTTCACTGATCTGTAAGAGCGGGTGTGGTGTCGCAAATGGTGTTTTATATGGCTGTGGGAGGAGCTAATGGGAAAACGTGGCTCCCGTCAGAGGTGGCTTCACCCTGGGCTGCTTACTGGTCTCCACGTGCTTTGTTTCCTTGTGTGTGAAGCAACGAGTCCGGATGGGCTCAGTGGTTTTTAACCGAGCTCTGAAGGGCGCCCTGGGCTCCCCTGGAGACTCGTAAGGAGCAGGAGGGTTATGGGACTGGTTTCTGGCTCATTGTCGTATGTCACGGGAGGCTTCATTCCATCTGTTTCCAGATTTCTTTTGGGGAGAAGTCCAGCTGGCCCAGAAAAACACAACACTACAAACACTTGTCTGGATGATTTCAAGGGCTCTTCCGGGTCTGAGATAATTACTTGAGTGAGCAAAATTACCATTCTCCGTATTTTGCTTTTGGAAAACACTTTTTAAATGGATAGACTAGATTTCTCAGCATACGTTCAAAGACTAATGGCAAACAGGAATCGTAGATATTCTTGGCATTGTAAAAACCAAATAGGATCCGGGATGGATTTCAGCAACAGTAGCAATCTAGTTAATGTGAGATGTTTGGCTATATCAATGGTATTTCCAAAGAGCCCAGACCACATGATGTCCTCTTAAGGCACCAGGTCAGAAAACGTAAGATTAAGTTCGTCTCATTTTGTTGTGCTTTGGCTTGACCCACAGAGCTCCCCAGTGGACTGTCTCGCTGTTCGTATTGATGCCTTTCCCTGTGAAGCTAGACGCTGGCTTTCTAAGAGGCCTTTCTTTATAGCTACCACTATATCTATGGGGGATCAATTCAATTTACTGGAAAAAAAAATTCAATAAAGAGACTGAGTATCGGGGATTCAGTAGGCACATTCCATTTATCATTTCAGAGATATCTATCCCCATGGCTTCAGTGACTGAGCTCAGAAAAGGACATCTCTCTTCCTTTTATTCATTGGCTTATTATTGTGCATGTAGGGTATGTCAGGCATGGGTTCATTTGTAATATATTTATTGGTGCAGGTGTTGGGGAATATGATACCCAAACAAAAGTTGCTATTCCCATGTAACTTGTATTTCAGTGGCAGGACGTAGAAAACAAATAAAAGTATACAATGACCATGACGGGTGAGGACATGTGCTCCCAAGAAAAATGCAACAGAGTGCGGGAGAAAGCAGGGCCATGGAGAGAGCAGGAGCATGAAGAGTTCTCCATCTGTCGTGCAAGAGAGATGGGGAACGGGGTGACCAGTTTTAGGCAGATCCCAGAAAGACTCTCTGATTAGTTAATGAGAGCAGAGAGCCAAGGAAAGTGAGGGAATCATGTGACTGTGTGGGCAGGAGTTTTGTGACAGAGGGAAGAGCAAGTGCAAAGGCCCTGAGGTGATATGAATAAGAGGGGGGTACCATCTGAATAGTGGTTGCTGAGGTAGGGACGTGCCCAGATCACCTGCTGTCTTGTAGGCTGTGGGAAGAGCTTTGTCTTAAACACGTTGCATCTTCTGATACACTGTTCATGTGTCCTGTGTCTTCATTATAATATGACATTTTCTCTGGCATCACTTAGACTTAGTTCCCCACCCCCGACAATTAAAAAAATTTTGTATATGATATCATTAGCAACAGCTGTGGAGATTTTGGCTCTCTCAGGTATGTCTATTAGTAGTCATTTATGCTGTCAAACTTCACTTGTTTGTTGCTTAGGTAATTCAAATCCTACGGACTAGTGGGTAAGAGTGAATTTCAAGAATCCTACAAGTGAGAAAACTGGATCAAATAGGCAAAGTACCATGCCATGCTGTGATAATTCCTGAAATCCAACCAGCTTTGCGTTGGGGGGGGGAGTGTTTAATAAAGTAATAACAGCTCAGGTATTTGGGATAATGGAAGAAGATGAGATACGGAGTGGATTTTCTGGAGTTTGAATCTTGATTCTGCTGCTTACTATAGGCAGGATCATAGCAGGCCCTCAATAAATATTTATGAAATAAGCAAATGGATTGAAGGACAGCTGAGTTTTCTCATCTGGAAAAGTGAGAAATGGCTATTCACACTTCACTGGAATTCATGCATGGAATACACAGGTTAATGCACTTCAAGTATGTGGCTTGTTAATGCACGCCCAGTTATTAGCATTATTGTGTGATGGACAGTTAGAGGGGGAATGACAATTTACTCTCCTTGTGAAGTACACACAAATACTCTCAAATGCTAGGAAAAGTTTCCCCTCTGTCACATAAGAAGACCCAAATGTTTGTTCTCTGGGGTCCTCCTTCCCTTGAAATTCAATAAAGTGGGTTTCACGAGGAGGAGGCTGGCATGCTCGCCATCTGGTGGCCATCTGGGTAATTAGCACCATCTGCCAACAGCGTGTCCTCATTTGCTCTTCGCTCTGCAACAAGATTGATTTCACTTCCGCTGCAACATTTATTGCTGCTTCAGCGGTAATGTGGTGAGATGAGCACAGCATGGCTGTAGAATCTGATGGATGGGGTTGGACTATTACCTCCACAACTTATTAGGGAGAAATCACAAAGAAATTGTCAACCTTACAGGGTTCTGTGAAGTATAAGCAAAGGATCCTGTTCTGTTGGAGCAGCTTGTCCAGCGTACAAAGCTTGCTGTTAAATTTTAGGAATTTTGCAATGCGGTTGTTAAACACAGCCGTTATTAAAAAATAAACTATTTCATGTACACTTCAGTTATATCAGATTGCCGAACTGTCTTCCAAGGGGCTGTGCTATTTTGCGTTCCCACCGGCAATGCATGAGAGTTCCTGTTGCTCCATATCTTCACCAGCATTTGGTGTTGTCCGTCCTCTGGATTTTGGCCATTCTTCAAGGTGTTTAGTGGTATCTCATTATTGCTTTAATATGTACTTCCCTGTTGACGTATGATGTGGAACATCTTCCCATATGCTTATTTGGTGACGTGGCTATTGAGGTCTTTGGCCCCCTTTTTAATCGGACTGTTGGTTTTTTTATTGTTGAGTTTTACGAGCTCTTTGTATATTTTGGACAACAGCCCTTTATCGGATGTGTCTTTTGCATATATTCTCTACAGGTCTGTGACTTGTCTTCTTGTTCTCTTGACATTGTCCTTCTCAGAGCAGAAGTTTGTAATTCTCAGGAAGCCCAGCTCATCAGTGATTTCTTTCATGGATCGTGCCTTTGGTGTTTTGTCTGGAAAGGCATCACCACCCCCAAGGTCGTCAAGGTTTTCTACTCTGTTATCTTTTAGGAGTTTTATAGTTTTGATTTTTAATTTAGGTCTCTGGTCCATTTTGATTTAATTTTTGTAAAGGACCTAAGGCCTGTGTTTAGATTAATTTCCTTTTTTTTAAAGAAGAGGATGTCCTGTTGTTCTAGCACCATTTTTTGGAAAGACAATCTTTGCTCCATCGGATTGCCTCTGCTGCCTTATCAGAGATCAGTGGACCATATGTGGCTTGATTTCTGGGCTCTCCATTCTGCTCCACTGATGCATTTGTCTGCGCTTTTGCCAATACCGCACTGTCCTGATTACGGGGCCTTTATAGTACGTCTGGAAGTAGGATAGTGTCAGCGCTCCAAATTTGTTCTCATACTTTTTTTCCCCCAGAGATCTGTTTTCGGATATTTACCACTGCTTGTAATCTGGTGTTGGCACTACTACTAATGAGCTGAGTGATTCAATACAAATTGGCCTCTCTGGGCTTCCGTATCCTCATCTGTGTCTTAAACGGGAGGACAGAGATACGTAGGATCCAAGCATGTGTTTCTTGATAGAAGGGACAAGACACAACAGAGTGGCAACAAATGGAATCTTTGAAATCATTCACGTGGGGTTCAAATCCCTCCTCTATCACTTACTGAGTGACAGTGGGCAAATCATGCAAACGCTCTGGGCTTTGGGTTCCATGTCTGCAGAATGCAGATCAAGAAGCATAGCTCCTTGGAGGTGGTTAGAATTAAATAAAATAATACTTGTTTTTCACTTAGCTGTCATTTGATTTATGTTAAATATATGCCATACCCTTTATCTATGAAATATGATCATGAAGATCAACACTTCAGAAATGGAC